TTCAGATTTGCATTCGTTGCTCAATTATCTGTCGTGTGATAGATTCGCTCGAAAAATTTTTTCAACACATAAAATATAAGGCGTATACGTGATGTTCGTTTTGGCAGGTGTCTCAGATTTTTGACCTTTTTTTCTAGAGTGTTTTATCAAAATAATCAAGGTGATTGATCGTTTAACTCGAAGCTTACGTGCTTTATAAAAGGTTATTAAAAGCAACAATAAAAAAACTGATATTTAACAATACATAAAAAAAATTAAAGACGTGCAAATGTATAAAAAATATTGATACACAAACAAACGAAGAAAGGAAATACTGAAATAATGAATCAAACAGCTGTAAAACTAAAAAAACTTTTAATACATTTAAATTAGTTGAAAGACAGGATACTTAATCTAAACATTGATCAAAAACTATTTTTATAGATTAAATCATCATTTAATTTAAAAATGTGCGTAGAATTACTCCTAAAGTATAGTTCCAGTATAGAAAAAAACAATCCACCGCGCATTTTCTATAAAAGTACAATCGAATTATTGTATAATTTTGTTTTGAATATTTATTGTAGTTTTATTTTTTTGATTATAGTTTTAGGTTTATATCTGCACACAATTTGAAATAAAATCCATTGGCTCGTCCCAGGAAAAGAGAATAATATCACAAAAAAGAGGTTAAATCAACGGTCGGCAACAGACGGACCGCGGTCCGGATCCGGACCGCGAAAGGTTGAACTGCGGACCGAACTGCGGAATATCAATTGCTGAGTCAATCAAGTTCAAAATAAAACTGTTGTTAATTTTCAAATAAGAAGCGAAATGGTAAATAAATAATAAATTTGTTTTGTGATTACCCGCGTTTTCGATCGTTTTATAAAACATCTTTTTGATTCTATCTAATATGGATTCGAAAAGGAGAAAAGTGGACAGTGAAAATAGGAAGTTTCTGGCAGAATGGACTGAACAATATTGTTTTACACTGCCTGATAGGCCGCAAGCGGTTCGGGTGTGCCTTATGTGCAATAAAACTGTCGCCTTAGTTAAAAGTGGCAATTTGAAGCGACAGTACGAAACAAGTCATCAGCAGTTCCTCAAAAACTTTCCTCTTGGCAGTCAGGCGCGTAAAGAAAAACTTCGGGTATATCTTAATTCAGACGAAAAAAGCACAAAAATCCTAGTTCACTCAATGCATGAAGGTTTAAGAAAAATCCACAGAGGCAGCGTTACGTGTGAGCTGGAGACTTAATAAACACCAAAAGCCATTCTGATTCTGAGATAGTGAAGGAATGTATGCTGGCAGTAGCTAACTTATAAAAAAAAGATGTTGCCTCAACAATTCAAACAAAGCATCTCATTGTCAGCACGAAGTAATACCCGAAGAAAGGAAATTTTAGCTGCGGTATTAAAAACTCCCTTCTTAATCTTTTGCAAAAGGTAACTTGTTACGCCATAGCACTTGACAAATCATGTGATATTGTTGATGATTTACAAATATCTGTTTTTATAAGATTTATTGATATTGAGTGTCATATTTTTAGGGAAGAGTTGCTAGCAAGATTGCCGCTGAAAGGTAACACTCGAGGAGAAGATTTATTCAAGGTTATTGATGAATTAATTTCTACATCTAACATCAGTTATAATAAAATGATTTCGCTTTCTACTGATGGGGCCCCAGCAATGATTGGCAAAGAAAAAGGTGTAGTAAAGAGGATCAAAAATTCAAAAGGAGTTTCTTTCTGAATGTGATTCAGCATATTCTGACTTACTACAACATAATAATGCTCGTTGGTTAAGTAAAGGTCAAGTTATGGAACGTTTCTGGCTAATAAAAGAACATGTGATCTGCTTACAAAGTATAGATACACAGGGAGCCAGAGCACATTTTGAGTATATAACAAACAGGAGATATTCTAAAATATTTGAATGTGCTTTACACAGAATTACAAGGAAATTAGTATGTGATCTGATACAAAGCGTGTCTGCTTTTCGTCGTAAGCTGGAAAAGATATTGCAACTGCAATCAACTGCAATCAACTGCAAATTACTTGCCGACCTCTGGGTTAAATCTTTGTAAATGGGCATCCAGTTACCAGCTAAAGTCCGTTCGAAGAGGTTTACTCTCCGGACGCTGGAACTCACTTAAGGCATGGGTGTATGTTACCTAAAGTAAAATTTAATTAAATATTAAACATCAAATATTAATAACAACATTATGTACAATCTTTGTTAACCTCATGTATTTTAAAGGGTTTTTACCCTAATATTTTGGTGGCTCAGGCATGTTAACCTGCATTTTAACCTGATGATGGAATTATTATTCCCAAAACGTTCGTGTTATTTGATGTAGCCCTTTTAAGGGTTTTTTAAATATATCCATTTACAAAGATTTAATCTCTTTTTTTGTGATACGTGGTATACAGCCAGCTGCAGGAATTATTTTCCTTGTGGATTTAGTATAATATTACTAAACACAGTAATATTATTCTCTCTTAAACAAAGTCAATATTAGAAAGGAGGTAGCTATACAAGATGGTAGATGCAAATAAATATAGAATGTAAAAAAACAAGCAATGAAGAGCAAAATATGAAAACATCTTACAAGTGTTGGCCCACACATCAACTATTCACTAGTAACTCTCAAAAATCAACAATTATTTCAACAATACGATGCTAAATATTTGTTTAAACCTGCTTTCAGCAATTCTTGAAGCAGCCACATACTTGTATTGAGATGTAAGGGACAAAATATGTGATTTAGATCAGCTATGCTAGTTCCACATTCACATCTGTGTGTTGGGAGAACTCCTATTTTATATAGATGCTTCGGAAACATCCATGATCTACTTTTAATCTTAGGATAGTCGACACTGTATTTCTGCTTGGTGCAATTACTTTGGAAAATTTATTAGCAACTTCTGTTCGTTGTAATTTAAACAAATTAGTGCCTGTAGTTTTACCGAACTGAATCCAACGTTTATTCCATTAAAATTTAATATGCTGTTTCACATATGCAATGAGATCACATATTATGTTTAATTTTTCAATCGATATTGCGTTAGTACTTTAGTACATTTTTAGCTATTGAATCTACAATACTATTACCAATATGTTTGAATGGCCCTTAACCCATACGAATTTAATATCACATGAAGAGGCTGATCATTTTAGTAACTGTTGAAAAAATTTTAACATAAATAAATTGCTGTTAATTGTGACTTTAAACTTTGGTAATGCATTTAATACTGATAATGAATCAGTGCACACAACAATTTTATTCCAGTGGTTTTCAGAACACCATTTATGGGCTTTACAGTGCTAGTCAAAAGTCCGTTCCCCTCTCGTATCTTTTGAACGGTTATTGTTATAATAGTAAAATTTGGAGGAATGTAATAAACAGACGTAGGCTTTCCAACTAGTCATAACAGGTGATGTTATAGTGGCAGATGACGTTACATCACCACTGTGTCAGATAATTTTAAATGCGACCTTATAGCAAATGATACCTCGTTTGAAAGGTATTAAAAATACCCATTCAACCATACTAATTTTATTTGAGTTTAAGATTATTTTGATGAATAAATTAAATAAATACGAAAATTGTAACTTCTCATTTAATTAATAAATTTTTAACAACCAATTCTTATAGTAAGTGTTCAAAATGTGCTCCATCTACTTCCTTACAGTAATGCATCCTATTTCTAAACTCTTGCCGTACTCGTTCAAATGTGTCGGGGGAAATTGCCCTACATTTTTCAACAATTCACTGTTTCAAAATGTCAATATTGTTGGGTGCTGCAGCGTGAAGTTTAGATTTCAAGTATCCTCACAAAAAAAAATCTAATGATGTGAGGTCGGTAACCTAGCTAGCCATTCTATCGTGCCTCGTCATCCAATCCATCTACCACGATATTCCTAATCTAGGAGCACCATATTTTTGAAACGTTATTTCCAAGTTGCCGAATTCATCTGGATTATCCTCTAGAATTTCAAGTATGAAACGGTAAAATTGCATTTTGTAACATCTCCAGATACACTTCACTGTTTAAGTTAGTATAAAGAAAAACAGGCCCAACTATGTGGTTTTCCAAAATACCTGCCCAAACATATATATATATATATATATATATATATATATATATATATATATATATATATATATATTATATATATATATTATATATATATTTGGAAATTGAGTAGGTGTTTCACGAAAGACGTGAGGATTTGTGTCACTCCAATACCTCACATTGTGGGTGATAACATTTTCAGTGAGAGAAAAAGTACTTTCGTCACTTAAACAAATTGTTTTTATGTAATCGGGCTGTTGGTTAATTTTATTGGACATATTTTCACAGAATTCTAGTCTTCGGTCGGGGTCATCATCTAAAAGTTGTTGCACAATTTGTAATTCGTATGGGATGAAATTTGTTTTCAGCTAACACTCGGTGTACTGTCTTTTGACTGATTCCATAGATAGATGTAACTTGGGCTGTAGGGTTCACTACAATTTCTGAAATTATGTAATTTTTTTTTGTCATCACTAATTGTTGGTCAACCAGGTCGTTTGACATTTTGAACACTACCTGTTTGTTTTAACTTACAAAAAAGCTTTCTCAAATAAGCTCTCAATGTATGGCGGTAGGAGTACCTCTCATTAAAAAGACGTTCTACTGCATGGCAATTATTTCCACATTCACCAATTATTAACACAGCTGCTACTTTTTCGGCTACAGTACGTACCATTCTGCCTTTGTAAAAATGTGAACGTCTCGTTAAACAATAATTAAACTAAATATTAACTAAGAACAACTAACTAAAAACAACTTGACCTAACTTGAATTGACTAAACTAAGCAGAAACAGAAATTAAATATCCAAGTATAAACGCGTTTGCAAACTAAACATAACTAGATAATTGACTAAATCACCTTCAAGAATCAAAAATAAAACAAAAAGGTACTTATTCAATTTAACAAGCTAGTCTAGTCTAATAAATTGGGTACTTACATTAAGCATATTATTAAATGCCTCATCTACAATCTCTACGTCATCGATTGCAAATTTCGTAATACAGTTGAATCTATACTCATCTGCTCCTATCACTCCGTCATCATTGAGATCAACCATCTTAAAATTAGAATCTATAAACATCTTCATGGCCTGCGGAAAATCTTCGTATCGTTTCCCCATACAGCACTGTTGGACTGCTTGCTTGAATTCGTCAGCTGTGATTCTACCATCCTGTAAAAGGTCCTGGATGAAGGACCGTAACACGTGAAGTGATTAGAACAATGAACGTGTATTTATGGTTTAGTAGGTAATTATTACATAAATAAGTTATTTAAAGGATGTAAATAGTCTTACTATTTATTAAAAAAAACATATGTGGTAGATCTCGATTGTTCTTATAAAATAATATAACATAATTTTTAATGTATGTCAAGTTCTAAGAAGCCACTTGCTAACTTCCCAGATGTGTTTAAGAACTACTATTATTATAAATCACGAAAGTAGAAATGCGAAGATTTCTATCGACGAAAGCAAAATGCAGATTTTTACTTTAATCTATGCCTTCTATAAATTGCAAGGCAAAACAGATGATGCTAAAGATGTAAGAGAGGATATGGAGAACCTAAAAGTTGCATTCCACAACATAACTTCTGATCTGAGCAAAAATCCTTGACGAATTGGCTTCTCGTACTCGTAAACAAGAAAAGCGAATTAAAAGAAAAGACAGTTGAGATTTGAATATCGTGAATATCGAACCAAGACAAGAATTTCCACACCCTGTAAGATTTTATCTACGTATAATGAGGCAAACTGTTACATTAGGAGTCATCAAAAGTAGTGCTTAGTGCTTAAAAAGCCATAAATATCGCAGAAAAGACCCTAAAAATTAATAGCCTGCTTGAACTCCATTACTTAAATCCTTTTGACATGTATTTTTCCATTTATATTTATTTTTCTATTATTAATGTATTTTTCATAATTATGTGAATTTATCTAAATGACGTAAAAGAAAAGTCTCTAGTCCTAACTGATGTAATGTTTCTGTGATCGGTTTCAGAGTTTACAATTAATGTATACTTTATCATATAAACTCCTAAACCGGTCGCAGTAACATAACGTCAATTAACGTAATCAACTTACAGAATTGTGAGTAGAAACTTTTCTTTCCAAATTATTTATGACTTGTAAAAAGCTAAAATTTTCAGCTTTAAAACCATTTATAATGTTGAAAGCCATTGTACTATCTAAATGACACATTACTTAAATTACAATAGTATTTAATATATTTACATCCTTTAAATTACTTCAATGGTTTTGCGTAGAGTACAGGGAGCATGCAAGAAAATGTATTTGTTATTGTCTATAAGCTTTAAAATAAATTATTTATTATTCCATATTTGATTTAATTTTAATATATGAAATAAAACATGTATTCCGATGTCTCGGGTGTCAATGTTTTTTGTTTTTAGAATGTTAATTGATTTGTCGCATTAGCCCCTGTCAAAAGCCTTCTCAGAAGCAATAAAGGATGTGCCGACATCCTGGTTCATATCTAAATTTTTTTGCATGATGATTTTTATTCCGAATAGAGCCTTCCTAGTGCTAGTGCCGTTTCTAAAACCTAGTTAATTGTCACTAATTTCACGATATAACTTTCTATAAAACCTACTGTGAATTATACTTAGGAACATGTTCAGCGCCTGGCTCATCAGTGCAATTGTCCGGTGTTCTGAGAACTCTTTCATATTATGCTTGTCTTTGAATTTTTGAACCTCTTTCTCCGTTTTCTTATCTCTTATTTGTTGCCTCTCATCTCTGAAAAATTCTTTGACATACTCCGACCATCTATCTATGTAGTTAATGTTTTGACTCTGTGACAATTTTACCATGCGATTCTTTTATTACATACAGAGTGTCCCATAATTAATTGGACATTAGTTAATGGGTGATAGCTGACATCAAAATAAAGCGTTTGAGCTCAAATTGCTTTGGCAACATGTTGCTAGTTTTTGTTCTATAGGGTGATTCATTAATGTAACAATAAAACACTGAAAACATTGTTTTCAAACTTCCCCAAAAAATTATTTTAACTCTTATCACTACAGCTGTTTCGGCTGATTGCCTTTCTCAAGTAATCTATTTTGGCATGCGTTTACACTTTATAGTTTCTAATGAAATAGGTTGAGGAGGGAGAAACTGTTTGTCTCAAGTTGGTCATTCAGAATTATATCTGTGTTTTTAATTTGTTGATTTTCATAGATTCTAACAAGGAGAGCTAAGGCCTTTATTTTGAATGTGAAGAATTTTAAATTCGTCGTTAAGGCTGTTTTATCGGTACACCAAAACCTAGATACAGTGTTTTCTCTGTTATTTACCGACAAAATATCTCGAAATTTGGACACATTATTCAAAATTATGTTGCCTTTAAAACTGATGGTTTTACTTTTAATTTTTTTTGAAAGTTCTTTTGAAATATCGGATTATACAGTTTAACGTTCTATTATAACCAAACTTTTTACGCCCATCACTTGAAAGAGTTTTTTTTTCTGTAATCGTTGTTTTTTTTTTCACCTTTTGATGTCCAGTAATAATCGAGAAAAGCGTGTTCAAACTTTGAAGAAAATTGCTAAAAAATACTGAAATCTAATAGTGAAACGTGTTACTCATCATTGGCATTTAGTTTCACCGTTATCGGCTGCGTGACGTCAAATCTCATGAACGTACGGTCAGATAGTTTGATTTGAAATCAATTTCAAGCTATAACTGCGAAATTGTTTATTTGTTTGTGACAACAAATTGTATTTTTTTTTGATGATAATATTTTTATGTTATTTTAAATTTATTATAAATAAACACCATGATGTTTTTTGCAGTCACGTTTCACAAATTTATATTCAATACTATATTTAGCTAAGACATATAAATTAAAAATGTGATAATTATTTTTAAAACATCTACGATAATCAAACAAAAAAAGGTATTCCCGACAAAAGTAATTTGAATGGAGAATAATGCATTTGTTGTCATTAAACCACTCGCCGGCCGGCGCCACTGCGAAAACAGCTGTACCTGTCGTCGGCTGGCGTAAGCAGTGAGGAAAAGTAAGTGATACGCCCATTTCAAATCGCAGTGTGTCTTGACGGCTAAAACAGCCTTAAAAGAATGATTGTGATCTAGAAGGTGAAGTGCGTATGTAGAATCTGTTTTTCTATTATTGAAAGCCTTTTATGTTCTGCTATTCGTTTGTTAAAGTTTCTACCAGTTTGACCGATGTAAGTTTTAGGGCAATCGCCACGTTTAAGTTTGTACACACCACTGTGTAAGTGTTTTTTATTTTGGCTCTTGTTGTTTGTGATATATTTGCCTAGGTTGTTATTTGTTCGGAAAGCTGACGTGATTCCTTTCTTTTTTATGTCTTTGGCTATTTTTGTTGTAATTTTGCCTGTATATGTAATCAAACAGAAGGTACTGGGTTTTTTCTCTGGTAGTGGAAATACTAATTTCAGGGCTTTCTTGTGTAGTTTTTGATTTAACATTTTATTAATTGTTTGTTTATTGTATCCGTTGTTTACTGCTATTTGCTTAATTATATTTAATTCTGTCTAAAGGTTGTATTTTGACATCGGAATTTCTGTTAATCTATGTAAAATACTATGATATGCTACCGCTACCAGTTTATGTTGTGTTGGATGGGATGGGATGATGAATTGTGTATAGTCGTGTCAGTATGGGTAGGTTTGCATACACAATTCATTATCCCATCCAACACAACAGAAACTGGCAGCATATCATAGTATGTTACATAGATTAACAGAAATTCCAATGTCAAAATACATCTTTGAGACAGAATTAAATATAATTAAGCAAATAGCAGTAAACAACGGACACAATGAACAAACAATTAATAAAATGTTAAATCAAAAACTACACAAGAAAGCCTAAAATTAGTATTTCCACCACAAGAAAAAAACCCAGTACCTTCTGTTCGATTACATATACAGGCAAAATTACAACAAAAATAGCCAAACACATAAAAAAGAAAGGAATAACACCAGCTTTACGAACAAATAACAACCTAGGCAAATATATCACATATTGAAAACAAAGTTTTCAGTGTTTTATTGTTACATAAAATGAATTTCCATCAAGTAACGGTCGAATCCATCAATGATTCATTAATATTTTTGGATATTATTTTTAGGGACATATTGAAAACTATTCAACCGATTTAAGTGAAATTTGGTATCTTGCTATTATTTAGTATGCTTAATATGAAAATGGTATTAGTTTTACCATTGACACTAGGTGGCGCCACGCCACCTACTATCACATTGGTTCATTAATGTGGCTATAATTTTTTTGTCCCCACACTTTATAAACATTTTAGCAAAAAACATGAAATAACATTCAATACTACAGAAAAAAAAGGTATTCTTGTTTAAAATAAAAAAAGTACACCATTAAAAAAAAACATATTTTGTTAATGATACGCTTGTCTGTATTTAATTTTTCGCAAAACAAGCAGGTACCTAGGTATGCTGTGAACTTAATGGCAAAGTCAAGGCGTAAGTACGAATTTGTTTACTATTTGTTGTTAAAGTGTAGTACGAGTCTATTATTATATAAAAAAAAGAATATGTGTGTACTTTGTACGCAGGTACGAAGTTATACTTCTATTATATGAATTCAACGAAATAAATATATATTAAACAGTTTATTTGTGTTTTATTTAAATATTAAACTAATTTTAATACTTATAAGTTTTCTAAAAATTTTCTTAAATAATATCGAAAATAAAAAAGTAAGCAAGGCAATTGTGAGAGACAACCATATGGAATAAAAATCAACGGGGAACTACTTAATGTGATTAGATATACAAACGATATATAAATTCTGTCAGATAATATTGTAGGTCTCCAAATTCTGCTTGATAGTATTCACGAGGTAGGAGAGGAAATGGGCAATAAAATAAACTCAAACAAAACCAAATTTTTAGTGTTTAGTTGTGACCCACATTCCGATGCAAAGCTTCAACTAAACGGAGTAAAAGTTGAGAAAGTTCACAAAATGACATATTTGGGAACTGTGATAACCACCCAACTAGATCCAGGCATAGAAATAAAACGTAGAATAGCAATGACTAAAACTACTTTTATAAAAATGAAGTAATTTATTTGCAATAATCATCTCAGTTTAGAACTAAGACAAAGAATGGTTAAGTGCTATGCTTGGTCGGTACTTTTGTATAGTTCGGAAGTGTGGACGCTAAAAGTATGGATCGTAAACAAAATTTAATCATTGGAAATGTGTGTTCATAGATGAATGCTGAAGATACCTTGGACAACAAGGAAAACTAATGGAGAAGTATTAAGGAGCGTCAATAAAGATAGAGAACTGCTAAAGACTGTTAAACATCGAAAAATGTCTTATCTGGGACATATAGTAAGGGGAAGTAATATTATAACTGATCCTTAAAGGAAAAATAGAGTAGGAAGGAAACGGGTTTCTTGGTTGAGGAACATTTGTGAATGGACTCGGATATCAAATGCGGGACAATTATTCCTATTGCAGAAGACCGAGAAGCATTCGCAATGGTGATCGCCAATGTCGGATAATTCTGATACGGCACGCGAAGAAGAAGAAGAAAGGCAATTACATGACATATTATGTTGGTAACCGGTCACTCATCCAACGCTTGACTCCGGTCGACGCTCTTGATTCCTGTTTTCGAGCGACAACTGGTGTAAGCCAGTGTGCTATGGCCGTAAAATTTATACTAAAATGAATTATTTTGACAGATTATACAGATGACTTTTTGTCATATTTTAATATCTATTTTCCTATTTCCGACGAAGACAAATGCAAAGAAACAAAAATTAAAAAATATATTTTTTTCGCACTTTATTTACACTAATACATACGTAACTTCAAAGATTTAGCAACTAACTTTATACTTCCGGTGAGCTCATAGGTACTTCATACTGTCATTTTTATAAAAATTCACTCTCAACATTTTTCCCAATTCATTTAACAAACATGAACTAACATTCAATTCTACACAAAAAGGTACCTAGTCTTCTTTCACATCAAAAAAGTACACCGTTTTCGAAATAAACGTATTTTGTTAATGATGCATATTTTAATTTATTTTTAAAATGGCCAGAACTCAGTCCCGAACTAAATCCCCTAGACATTTACTTGTGGGGCTACCTAAAGTCACTTGTTTAGAAAAAAAGATAAAAAGATAGATATGTACAAAAGATTTAGATTACGTAGTTTATCTAATGGTGAACATTTTGATTCTGAACTTTCTTAATTGAACTTTCATACTGTTTGTACTGGTATTTAATTCCTTTTGAATAATGTTTGAATTTACATAAGTTTTTGTAAAATTTTTTCATTTTATGCACTTCTCTAAAAAATACGTTTATTTCGAACACGGTGTACTTTTTTGATTTGAAACAAGAATACCTTTTTTGTGTCGATATAAATGTTATTTCATGTTTTTTTCCTAGACTGTTTATAAAGGGTGCACAAAAAAATTATAGCCATATTAATGAACCAATGATATAGTAGGTAGCGCCTCCTAGTGTCAATAGTAAAACGAATATTATTTTCATATTAAGCATACCAAATAATAGCATAATACTAGTTTTCACTTAAATCGGCTGAATAGCTTTCAATATATCTCTAAAAATAATATAAAAAAATATTAATGAATCACCCTATAGAACGAAAACTAGTGTAACATTTTGTCTAAGCAATTTGAGCTCAAACGCTTTATTTTGATGTCAGATATCACCCATTAGCTAATTAATTATTTTACAACCTGTATATGTCATTTTCTTCACTTTTCTATGAACATTAATGCTGTTATATTTCTCTTCTCATTCCTCAATTTACTACAGTAGGGATAATGGATTACGACTGATAAATTTATCAGCAGCACTAAACATGACAGTCGCAAGCACCAATTTTGAAGCTATTTTGGGCTCAATCTCATTTTTAAAATCCTCAATTATATCAAGAAATAGAAAGATAAGACTACAAAACAATAATATGCCTAGTCCTTACATATGGTTCAGAGACCTGGACTATAACAAAAAGTAATGAAAACATGCTAGTATATTTTGAAAGTAAAGTTATACTTAGGCGAACCTATGGAGCGGTGAATGACAATACAACTTCGAACTTTATAGATTATACCAAGTATTGTAAAATATATTAAGATACAACGTCTACGGATGAAACAAAATGACGCAGCTAGAAAAACGCTCCTTAATAGATCCGTTAGTCAGAGAAGAAGAGGAAGACCCAGAACAAGGTTCCTTGATAATATCAATCAATAAGAAATATGAGGCTACAACCCAGGCAGGTTTGTAAAGCCAGAATAATGTGAAAGGTCCTTCAAATTACTTTCAAGCTGTAATATCTAAAATAAACTCGAAACAAGTTATATTCTGGCATTTAAAATATAAGAAAATTATTTGTAGCCTAAAGTCAGAATGCTGCTTAAATTTTCTGATGATAGGACTAGATGATATACTATATTGACTAAGAAAGTATTCTGAACCAACAAAAATACGCTGCATAAATACACACTTCACTTCGGTACTGATGCTTTGCAAAAAGATATCGAGTAGCTTGGATAGGGACCTAAGGCTTTGCAGAGGTCATCTTAATGCTGGAAGATGAAGTTTTGCAAAAGATAATATCGGAACTGATCTTACCGTATACCTGTATGCCAATGGCCGATGGGGCAGTGTTTACCGATACTGTAGCTTGCCTTAATGGGTCGTCCAAGTGGATGGAGGTCACAGTAGAATCACCCTTAAGCAGCGTTGCCCAAAATGACCATTTATTCCCATCTTTTAGTGGGATAAGAATATTCCAGGAACAAACAACTTCCAGTGAACGAGGAAGAAAAAAATCGAAACTTCGGTCATCCGAAAACTACCGAACTGGATGCCGTTACAGGCCATAGTTCCGAAGATGAAGATGAGCCACTTAAAAGTAGTCAGGAAAACCTAGATGAATCTCAACAATATCCGAAAAAGTTCCAGCTAGCAAGCAAGAACCACGCAGCAGCGAAAAGGTTTAAGTACCCGTTAAAGCATTCCCTAGATCCAAAAAAGCTCGGCAACAGGCGCTAAAGACTATTTTAAAGCTACGGATATATATAAGTTACACACAAAAGATAATTCAGGTCGCAGTGTAAAAAGGCCTACAAAGTCAAAATTTACGATCTACAACCTAGTAACGATATACCGAAATAATATATTTTATATATCAACAAATGACTTCTTCCTAAAAGAACATTTATTTTAAACACTCTCACGTTGCTCACAATGTGACTTCTTAAATGAACATTTAAATCGAATGTGTACGGCACAAATGTTCTGTTAAGTTAATGATAATACCTTATTAAAATCTGCGAGTTCTGCTATTTCTTCCCAAAGACCAAACATTATATGCTGGTTTTCTTGCAGTTTACTGTAGCTAAATTCTCCTTTACCTTCGACGATTGTAGCTCTCAAGGCCAAGCAAGCAAAATCCTTTTCGTCGAGATATCCGTTACCATCCAAATCTAAAACAATTTTCTGTCTGTTAGTATTTTAAAAGAATATATCCAAAGTGCAAGAGACAGCGAAGAAAAGAGAAAAAGATGTTGAATCAACGGAAGAATTTAACCTAGCGGTCCTAAGGCTAAAAAATCAGGAAAATTGTAAAAGTATTACAGTGGCGGACTAAGGCTAAAGTGTGGCATAGGCATAAGCAACATTGCGATTACGGGCCTATTTTTCAGTCATGACACATACTTTACGTTTGGTAGTTTGGTTTCAAAGCGTATAGTATGTAATTCCAAGAAAAAAGGAAAGAAAAATTATAAATGTACAAACATTAAATAAACATAATTTATTAAATCAAACAATAATACTTAAACAAATATACACAGATTGATTAGTTTTATTGCCTTTTTTTCATTTTAATTCTGCAAATTTGTCAGTTAGTTTATAATAATTAATAGAATAATCTAATAACTTTTTTATGTAGAGTAATGATAAACTTCTAAATTACCCATTAGCGCCTGAATTATTTTTTTGTTAAATATTTGTATAAAATATCTTTTATTTTAAAGGTATATGTTTATTTATATAAACTATGTAAAAATTTCTTTTTTTTTGCAAGGGAGTCCTTAGGCGACCCCGTGTTCATATGATCACACTAGGCGTATATGGGGTACAAAAATACTCTTTCTGATAAAAATTTATTTTTGATTACATTTTATAAAAAGTTCCGAAACAATCGATACAGAGCCCGACGTTACACTTTCCACATTGTGTTCGAACAGTTTTCTTGCAGCTCAATCCACAGCACCGTCTTCTGTTACAAGGCTCCACCAAATGGTTTCTTCCATCAAGTCTTATATCTCTGCAAATTTTGCTATCTAGTTCAGTTCTGAATCCACGCGGACGACCGGCACCTCTGGTAGCAACACCATATTTCTGCAAAATAACCTGAACGATGCTTCTTCTAAAGTCCAGCTGAGGCATATCACCACCAGATTTTCTTTTTAACACCCAGGCGTTATGAATGGATGCATCCAAAAACCATATAAATATAGGCCACCACCACTTTTTACCACGAATAGATATTCGATAACACGAAATATTTTGGTCCATTTTATCTGTACCGCCCATGTGTTTGTTATAATAAGTAAATAATGATGGACGCATAACTGAAATTTTCTTTTTCTCCTCTCGAGAATAACGCTGGACATATGTAGTTGGTTGAACACCATAAGATGTAGATGCAGCGGCCACAACTGAATTGTCCATCCATTTTATGACAATTATTGCATTTTTTCTATCTAATTGAAAAGCATATTCCCCGCGGTTTTCCTTTTTCATTTGCTTATTGGTTTTTATGTTACAGGTTTTTGGAATCCTATTTTCACGGATAGTTCCCGTTCCGTGGTATCCTCTGTTCCTAAGTTCTTTCAACAATAGCATACCAGTAAATAAATTATCGAAATAAATATGCATAGGTAAACTTTTATATTGATTTGGAAAAGTGTCAAGCATTTGTACCAAGGGCGCAGCACACTTTCCAAATTTATTATCATAGTCATTATTGCTATGAGGGTTTTTACCTTGGTAAATATCAAAATTTATAAGATAGCCATCAGAAGTATTTAGACTCCATACTTTATATCCAAATCTAATAGGTTTCTTTCGAATGCATTGCTTGCAACCGTGCTTACCAAAATATTCTATCATTGACTCATCAAAACAAATATGTTGTTCGGGTTCATACAGTTCTGCAAATTTATTTTGTAATATATTTGCCAATGGTTTTAGCTTCCACATTTTATCCACCATTGATGGAAAATTATTATCTGCAAGGTGTAAGTATCGTGAGATTGCAATAAATCGATCCCTTATCATAGAATTGTAAACAAATTCATTGCGCAAATCCCCTTGTGAGTCCCAATAATTTCTTTTTGAAGGTACAGTATTATAACCAGACAAAATTAGTATCGCTAAAAAAACTTGAATCTCTTCAGGGGTCACATTGAAATCTGAACAATTTTTTGAAGCAGCATATTTATTACTTTCTTCACAAAAAAGTCTCAAAACGTTGTCGTCTATAATCAAGCGAAATATATCATATGGACTTAAATCTTTGTATTTTGTATAAGAAGGAGAAGGAAAATTTAACATGGGCGGTACTATATCACCTGCTATCCATTCAGTCTCTAGATAAGCTTTCTTGGCCGATTTTTTGATAGAATTCTTTATGGTTTCAGCTACTTGCTGTTCATCCACCTCATATTCTAACGGATCCTGACTCTGATTATATGAATTCATCACAACTTCTGCACCTGCACGTAATTGTCTACCGCTTAGGTTATCAACTAGTCCTCCTTCCTCATCACCAGAGTCCTCGTCAGTTAGTACATTTGGATCTGGAGGCTCTATAAATATTTCATTTAAATTTTGATCGTCGTCGTTTTCAACCATAGCTAATGCTTCTTCCAAAATAATGCCACTAAAACAATAAAAAATGTTGATATTATAACATTTCCAGACAAAACAAAAATATTACCCACTGCCCACATTCACGCCTAGCGTGTTCATATGATCACATCCCTAATAAATGTGTAATTATGAAATACTAAAGTACCATTTCGAAGTGTGAATCATTTTAAGATAAAGTTTAACTCACTTCTATAACATATTATACCCCAAATCAAATTTTAAATAATTTGTTATATAAATACAATACTTACACAAATCGGATGTACGGATTTGTCATTTTTCAAACTGCTAACCAGCAAATTGGTCACTACAAATACTTCTAATAACAATTAAATGCACCTCGCACTGTTTATTATTTTAAACTAAGGCATAAGCAACACAGTAGCCTTGAGCCGATGTTAAAATTATCACAGTGTTGCCAAACAAATAATAAAATATTGAGTCTTGTTATGTGTGATCATATGATCACGCTAGGCGCTAATGGGTTAAAACTTAATTCTAAAATAACTTTCTTCTACGTCTAAGTTTTCAATAGTATGGAAAAATTAAGGTAGAAATCCCAAAAATCTTTCTTTTGCTAAATCTTGCTAAAATAACGGTTAGTTAATCTAGGTGAAATGTATCAAGTGTTGAACCAATAATTAGAGAATAAATTTTGGCTTCCTTTACATCACATAAATTCATCACATATTGTACGCAACAAATAGTTTATAGTACCGGTGCCGCAGTTTGCACATGTTCCCGCAAAAATGGATCGAAGTCGAATTAATATTCATTACAAAATGTAAAGGATAAACACTTAAAGACAGATAGATTAATGAAGAAAAAATCATGGATGACAGATGTGATCCTGAAACTAATGGACGAGAGAAGAGAAGCCAAAAATGACCCAGATAAATATAAAATCAAAAATAGGTAAAGAAATAATAAATAAGACTTACTCACAATCAATTTAATTTAACTATCAGACGACCGGTTTCGCTTTCTACAATATGCAAAGCATCTTCAGGTCTCGATACAAAGTTAAACAAATGCTGAAATGATAAAAACCCATATTAGGGTGTTGTCTAATAAAGATAAACAATTTTGATGTTATAATTTACAATAATTTGCCAATATTACATGTCTGTGGTTTTATTTAAATGATTGAGTTGAATAAAAGGTAAAAAAAATTTTTTTAAGAAGGTTAAAAAGACAAGGTAAGGCCCACAAATTGTTATAAAATCACTTCTATTGTAATAAATTAATAAATGAGCAAATAAATAAATAAAATAAAAATTACTTACATGCCGGTACTCTATTAATAGATGGATGGTAGAACATGTTTGAAACTACTTTATATTGTTGAATGGTTTTATCGAGACCTGAAGATGCTTTGCATATTGTAGAAAGCGAAACCGGTCGTCTGATAGTTAAATTAAATTGATTGTAAGTCTTATTTATTATTTCTTTACCTATTTGAAATGGACTCACACAAGCAACACATTCATGATAAAATCAAAAATATATTAATAAGAACGAAAATCAGAGAAGCGAAAGAAAAAAAAGCAAGGGAAAGATGCGAAGAAATTGAGACTTTGTAGTTAAAGTTCGATAGTCACAACGTACATAGGAAAGTAAAGAGCTCACATGGGAACTAAGACGAAGGCAGAAAGAAAATATAACTGATTTTGACAGAAACATCATCTTGGACAAACAGAGTAAAATAAGAACGTGGAAAGAATATCTAGAAAAATTATTTGAAGACAAAGAGATAACCCTTTTGAGCTAGAACAAGAGGTAAATGATGGAGCAAGAATATTACAGCAGGAAGTTTCTTCCACAATAACACAGTAAAGGATGGCAAAGCGGTAGGCCCTGATAATATACAAGCAGAACTACTCAAACTAATGGCCAACGAATCAATAGCAATAATCGCAAATATAATCAACAAAATATACAACTCTGGAGAAATACCAACAGAATGGCTGAAATCTGAGTTTATTGCACTTCCAAAAAAACCAGGAGCCAAAAAATGCGAAGATTATTGTACTATAAGCCTCATGAGTCATCTCCTAATATTGTTCCTAAAGATAATTCATAAGAGAATCTACAACCAACAAAACAAACAGGAATTAATAACGAAGATCTGAAAATAATTAGAAATTTTTACTGGAATCAGACAGCAAATCTCAGAGTTGAAGGTGAACACACTGACTGTGTAAAAATCATGCGTGGAATGAGGCAAGGCTGTATTTTGTCTCATCTAATCTTTAATCTGTACTCTGAAAGAATATTTATCGAAGCTTTTCACGAAACTGAAAAAGGTATTCTACTAATTGGTTACCGACTAAATATCATCAGATATGCAGATACAAGCTCTTATGAATAAAATCGCGTATTACAGTCAACAATATGGATTCAATATAAACGTTAAGAAGACAAAGTTTTGATAATTAACAATAAAAGGATAACAGAAGGTCAACTCTACGTCCACCAATCCCCTGTAGAAAGAGTGACGCACTAAAACTACCTCGGAACCATAATAAATGAAGAATGGACCAACAACCAGGAGATTAGAGCACGCATCGGAAAAACTAGATCCACCTTCAATTGGTTGGGGGCCTTCTTCAATAGTCACAACCTATCTCTTGATACAAAAGTAAGAATGCTGCGATGCTACGTTTTCTCTGTCCTTTTTTATGGTGTTGAATTGTGGACCTTGAACGAAGATATGTGCAGAAAACTGGAAGCATTTGAGATGTATCTATATCAGAGAATGTTTAAGATCCCGTGGACTGACCGAGTCACAAATGAGGAGGTTCTCAGAAGAATGAATAAAAACCGAGAGGTACTGACCACCATCAAATCTCGAAAGTTACAGTTCTTCGGACATATTATGCGAAATGTATTAAGATATGCTCTCAGGAGATAAGATATGCTTCAAGCCATCCTGCAAGAAAAATATTTGGGAAACGAGGTCCAGGAAGAAGAAGAACATCTTGGTTAAAGAACCATAAAGAAGATAAGATAAAGATTGCCATGATGATCGGCAACATTCGTAACGGATAGGCACATCAAGAAGAAGAAGAACTTTATTTTTACTACAACACCCGGAAGAGTATAAAGAAATAAATTTGATTGTCGCTACCATACTTTTAAGTACTTCTCTCCAATATATTTTTATGCTTTATCATTTTTTTACAGTTCAGTGTCAATGCGTCAGGTAATTTTAGATGTTATAAAAATTAAAATGGAGTTAATGTGGAGTTTTCATGCTGTGACAATTTTTTTAAGTACATTTTTTGAGTTGTATGCTTGAAACATAATTTACAGACCTAACAGTACAATAAGTTGTTGGATTCAGTATTTATAACTCATTTGTTTTCCGTTCTTTTTTCACTTCCACTTAAATGTCTACAGGAACTCGTTTTAAAGACTATGTACTAAAAAGAAAGAAAGAAGGAAATGTTCTTCAATTGAATTATTTTTACTCAATATCACAATCAAAAACAAAAGCACAACTTGTGCTATTTTGTAATATATGTTATTTTAATTAAATAATGTAATATTCTTATAAAAACTTACATTTTTATTTTAAGAATTCCAGAAACCTTTAACTATGAGTCCAAAAAATCTATTTGCAATCAAGTCTACGTACTAAAATCCTAATTGCACAATTTCCAAACAAAACTCACATAAAATGTAACACACATAATGTGTAACGTTCAGGAGAGCTACTTTGACTTTTTAAACACGTGCATTGTAAAAGCCCGATAGGCACGAGGCTCGATCGTATTCACCACACATCGACATTCGCGGATGTGGATGTATAATTCGGATACGTTTCAGCAATAATTATGAATAGCGTATTGTTCTGTTAAATAATAATAAAAATTAATTATAAAAAAAACCCAATTTTCGGGCCCCAAAAGTTACGGGTCCTAAGCACGTGCCTAGGTTGAATAGCCCTTAGGCCCCTGGAAGTATATTAAAATTATTCTAAACACTGTTCCTATTTAAGAAAGCAAAAAATATCGAAAAGGAATACATAAATAATAACTTCATATTATGTATACATTATTAACAAATAGGCTTTCGTTCAAACTAGATAAATATTCAACCAAAGAAGACATATTTAGAAAGGCATGAAAATAGTTTTGGCACACGAAATGAAAGAGGAGACAAATTGTATAACTACTTAGAACGACAAAATTTATATGCCATGAACATACACTTCAAGAAACCAGCAAACCGAAAATGGATGTGGATATCTCCCGATAAAAAGACGAACAACGAGATCGATTACTTCTTGTGTGGAAACAAAGACATTTTTGAACATATAACTGCTCTCAATCGATTCACAATTGGCAGCGATCATCGTCTTTTAAGAGCAAGGATTCATATTAAATAGACAAAAACCAGTAGAAACAGGCCACATAATTATTGTAATCTATAGATCAAACTAAAATACGACAGAAGGGAGATGAGTACAGAGAAGTCTTAAGAAAAGAATTTGTAGAACGTTATCAACAAGAATATTCCGACATGAACACAATTAATAAAGAAATGCCACGAAAGCTCTTGAAAGCAGGACTGATTATTGCAAAGAAAACTAACAATAAAGAAGACAGAATAAGTGATGAACAAAACGATCAATAGAAAAGAGACGCACATTTCTAAGCGAAGGAAAGTGAAACACCAATGGTTTCATAGAATTGAATAAACAAATATAGAAGGGAGTAAAGGAAGATTTAAGGATCTATAATGAAAACAAGGTAAAAAAAATAATAGAAAAAAACTGAGGCCTGGAATGCTTAAGATCAAACTTAGGGAAGCATATAATTGAAGGATAAAGATGGAAAAGAAATAAGAAAAACTAACGAAATCCTAAAAGTTACTCAAATATTTTACCGTGATTTATATTCCTCAAACAAGAACCCAGATAATACTGCAAAGGAAAATCTTAAGAGAAAGATAACGAATGCCAACTCAGAAATACTCCCTAACATAGAATCCTTCGAAATAAAACAAGTTATGGCACAACTAAAGAACAATAAGGCTCCGGGCCCAGATAAAATACTTGTAGAAATGTTGAAGGAGGGGAGTGAAATTATTCTCGAAGAATTGAAAAATATTTTCAACGAATGTCCCAGATAATTGGAATGAAAGTTTGACAATACTTTTCTTCAAAAAGGGAGACAGGGGAGATCTGAAGAACTATAGGCCAATCTCTATGCTTTCCCAAATGTACAAACTGTTTATGAGAGTAATATCTAACAGGTTAACGTCGAAGCTCGATAGCTATCAACCGGTAGAGCAGGCGGGACTCCGAATGGATTACAGTACAGCGGTTCATCTTCTTTTAGTCAGAATGCTAAAAGAGAAAGCAAATGAACATCAATTGAACTTATTCATTGGTTTCGTTGATTATAAAATGGCATTCGACTCCATAGAACTTTGGGCAATAGAGAGAGCTATGAAAAACTACAGGAAAAAGTTCGCCAGGGAGATGTTATCTCACCAAAACTGTTTACACTTGGACTCGAAGACATGTTCAAAGACATTAACTGGTTAGATAAAGGAATATATGTTAATGGAAGAAAACTGAGTCATTTGAGATATGCTGATGATATTGTAATATTCGCTACAAGTTTTGAAGAACTACAGACCATGATGATGCAAGCATTGGAAACTTGGACTATTTCAAGCTTTGGAAAAAGTAGGTCCTAAGATGAACTTGGAAAAAAACAAAAATAATGACAAATACACCGAACATTAGAGAAATAACTTTGATCGAGATAAATTTAGAAACAGTAAGCGAATACATCTACCTGGGACAGATAATGAAAGTTAACAAAGAAAATCAACTGTGTATCCTCCACATACTCACGTATGGTTTACAGACGTGGACACTTACCAAGTCTAATATGGATAAAATAGTAAAAGCACAAAGAGCGATGGAAAGATCAATGCTCAGGGTGAGACTTAGAGACAAAAAAACAAACAAATGAATTAGACCCAAAAAAAAACTAAAATAAAAAACGCCGGAGAACATGCTGCCAAATTAAAATGGAGCTTTGCTTCGAAGGCCGACTAAATCGGAGGACACAATGCCCGACTAAAGTATAAAATATGGAACCACGAAATACAATAATGGAGACCATGGTTAAGAAAGAGAAGCAGAGGAAGACCACAAATGAGATGGGCTGATGACATTAAGAAGATCGGAGGACATAACTGGAAGCAAGTGGCGCAAAATAGAAAACACTGGATTGTTTTGTGAGAGGCATATGTCCAATGTTGGATTACTTAAGTCTGAAGATTATGTCCTATTTAAGCCTGCTGGGAAATGTACCCTTTCATTCCCATATCATCCTTAATTTTTTTTTAATTTCTTTTTGCTTTTTTATTTCATATTTGGATTCTCCTCTTTGTACTGATTACAAAAATGTGTAACACATAATGCTTAAAGTGATTAGTGTATAAGAAAAACAAATACAAAATCAAGAGAACTGGACTGAAAAAAAAATTATCATAATAATTTTGAATGAACATTTCACTACCAAAAACATTTACAATAATTGTTCAAAATGACTTCCATTCACTTTCATGCAATAGTACAATCTATTTTAAAATTTTTCTCTGACATTGCTTACCACGTCTGCATTTAATTGTGGACATTCATCCTCTATTCTTTGTCGTAAATCATCCAGAGATTCTGGTTGAGTCTCATAAACTTTTGTTTTTAAATACTCCAATAAGAAGAAATCTAAGGGTGTTAAATCCGGTGACCTAGGAAGATAATCTATCATCTGTCCTTTTCTACCTATTCAACGAGCGGGAAAATTTTCGTTTAAAAATTGTCGCACAGGTAGAGCAAAGTGTGGAGGAGCGTCATCGTGTTAAAATACAACCAAATCTTCGGAAAGGTTATTATAATTTTCTAGTATTTTTCTAATACGATCAACCAATTAAGTTTCCAGTGATAAAAAAGGGTCCGACAATGTGATTCCCTAAGATAAAACACCATAAGTTTAACCTTTAAGAATGCTGTGTATGAAATTCACGCACAACATGTGGATCACTCTCAGCCCAGTATCGGCAATTATGTCTGTTCACCAAGACATTTAATGAAAATGAGCATTCATCGGAAAAGCGAATATTGCTTAACAATTGTGGATTACTAATGATGCATTGTGTCATTAATTCGCAAAATTCGAGATTTCAATCAAAATCTTCTTCATTTAACTCTTGTACCAATTTAATTTTGAATGGATAGAACTTAAATTTATGGAAGATTCGGAAGGCTCTAGAAGGTGAAACATCGATTGTTCTGCTTATTGTTGACAGTGACTGAGATTACTCAGCCTCTAAGTTAACTTGCACTAAAACGGATACTTGGATTGCTTCGTTATTTCGAGTCCCCGTCGGTTATGTTTTTTATTGCAAACTAGCCCTGTTGCTCTAAATTTCTGCACCAGTTCAATCACATACTTATGAGTTACCTGTCTATTGTAGTGTGTTTCATTAAAAATTCTAGCAGCAGCTCTTGTACAATTATTATTTTTGTAGTATATACCTACAATTTCGATTCTTTCTTGCAAAGTGTAATCAAAGCAAAATTGTCTATCTCATAAACTAATTAGTTCAAGCCGCATATAATATACATTTTTGAAATCAGTACAAAAACTAGAAAACTAGATACCGGATACCAAAAAACATCCCTTCTTCAGTATCTGAAATGCAAGAAGCAGTTACCAGACTGAAAAACAACAAGTCACCTGGATTAGACATTAGCGCAGAATTAATAAAAGAAGGCGGAGGCTCCCTATTGAATGCGATACACGAACTAATAGTGAACATATGGAATAATAAAAAACTGCCACAAGACTGGAATACCAGAGTAATTATCCCATTACATAAAAAGGTAGATCAGCTTCAATGTAAAAACTACCAGGCAATAACGCTACTAACTGTGGCATATAAAATACTGTTAAATATTGTGTGTGACCGATTGAAACCACATGTGGAACAAATAGTTGGGGGATATCAATGTGATTTCTGCAGGCAGAAGTCCACAATAGATCAGATATTCGTCTTAAGGCAAATCTTGGAAAAGACTAGCGAATTTAATATAGACACACATCATCTTTTCATTGATTTTGAGAGTGCCTATGATAGCATCCATCGAAAATTTCTGATCGATGCACTAAAAGAGTTTAATATTCCAACTCCACTCATTAACATAGTAAAAGAAACATTTAAAGTAAAAAGCAAAATTCGAATTCAAAACGCACTAACTAGAAAGAGCGGCACAAAACAGTGGCCTAAACATTAACGAAATAAAAAATTAATACATGAAGGCCAGAAAATCGACAGGCCAAAGAAATCTACAGAATCTGGCAATAGGAGACTATAACATCGAAAGCGTGAAAAATTTTACATATCTTGGTTCACTAGTTACTGCAGATAACAATGTCAGTGAAGAAGTTAAGAGAAGAATACATATCGCTAATAAAACATATAATAGACTAATTAAACATCTAAGATCTAACAACATCACAAAAAACACCAAATGCAAAATATACAAAACCCTGATAAAACCGGTCCGTGTATATGGATTAGAGACATGGACACTGTCGAAAAGCGATGAGAAACGATTAAGTACGTTTGAACGAAAAATCCTTAGACACATATATAAGAAGGTGAAAGAAAATGACATATGGCGCAAAAGATATAATTTTGAACTATACACAGCTTACAATGAACCCGAGGTCATAACATCCATAAAGATCTGATTTCTGCGCTGGATCTGCTATGTTGAACGGATGTTGGAGACTGAAACACCAAAACATATAATGAGGCAAACACCGGTAGGGTGAAGGTCAAAAGGAAGACCCAAACTTAGATACATGGAACAAGTGAAACATGATCTGAACACACTTAAGATCTTAAGATTACCAACTGGAAAACAAAGCAAGGAACAGAACAGAATGGCGAAACATCCTCGAACAAGCCAGTTCCCAGAAAGGGTTGTCAAGCTACTGATGATGATAATGATGATGACAAAAAGTAGAATCCAAATATAAAATAAAAAAAGGGTGATGTAATTAAAAAAATTAGGGGATGATACGGGGGTAAAGGGATGCCTTTCCCAGTAAGTTTAAAGTTTTTAGTATAGTCACAGTTTGGTCTTTTAATCTGTGGTACAGTGAAAAATATTAAAGATATTCTTGAAATAAGGAGAGGTGGATATTGAAAATTTCTACAGGACAGTAATTAAATTTAGATAGGAATAAAAAAGTGGATTCGGGGCTAGCAGGTCTCGTACCTACTGTTAATGTGTTATGCGTAAAGCAGATCATAGAAAAGAAAACCGCAAAAAGTCAAGAAGGACACATAAGTATTATTGATCTGCAAAAGGTCTACGGTATAGTGCCAATAACAAAACTTTGGGAAGTACTTTGACACACAAAAATAAATCACACGCTCATAAGGGCACTAAAAAATAGTCATATAATGGACTGACATATCGAATTAAAATAAGAAACACCCTATCTAAACCTATATAAACGTCAAGATTGCTACATTTTTGCAACACTATTTAAAATATCTATAGCAAAAGCATTACACACTTGGAAAATATAGCGCGATGGTATGTAAATAGAATTGAATATTATTTGCCTATATACAGTTCAATTTGCAAACAATAGGGAATATATGGAATACCTGATACGAAAGTAAGCAATAAGAAGATAGAGGCTGTTGATGAATAGAAATATCTAAGAAGAAAATAACTCCAGAATAATACAAGAATATAATACACGAGAATATAAAAAACAGAGAAAAGCCAAGAAATATAGAAGCCACAGAACTGGATGTAATAAGGCAAACAGTAGGCTTTGGAAACAAGTACTCGCATGTATACCTCACAGTCTCTATGAAGACAGAAAAAAGGAAGACCGAAGACAACATGGATAGAACGAGTAAAAAATCAATAACTTTTAAAGAACTTAGAGAAGGACGAAGGAAAAACCGACTTTATATTTAAGTGAATTATATTATCGAGAACGTATCACGGTCATATCATTCGAGTTGCAATATCTATATACACAATAATTGATAAAAGAAATTATCCATTATATTGGAAATTTTAAGCACCATTGAAAAATATTGGAAAACCACAGAGAAAATTGTTAAAAGATCGAAAGCAGTAGCATTCATAGCAGTAATGCTACAAAGTAGTTGTACCTTCGAGGATAAAGTAAATGAATGACAATATCAAAGAATAATAAGATAAAACAAACAATCGTAATAACAACTTATGCTGATTTAATCTAATGGACTAAAATATAGTTCACAATAAACAAAATTTAATAAATTCCCAACATTAAAAATACACCAAGCTTCTTAATTATATAAATATAAAATGTTGCGTGTGCATTTTATCGTGGGCATTGGCATTGTTTAGACAAAAGCAATATATTTTTATTGCTATCTAATAATAGTATTACATGAATAATACATTGTAAAATTAAAAACTTTCTTAAAAATAACATTTTAAAAATATCTTTTCGTTCCACGTTAGACACTTGTTCCTCCGCTTACCTCAACAAGTGTCAATAACTTTTTTATTTTTAAATCAATCAATTTGTACTTACCGTACAAATAGCGAACCACGAAATTGACTCTGTTGTCCCAACTGTAAGCCATTGCCGTTGCAGGAAAGTGCAGCAAAACACACGAAATGAAGAGGTTATTCGGCAAAATTAAGTGGAAGTTATGAATATGCTGTAAAAGTTAAAAATGACGATGAACCGGCACGGCTTCTATTTTTGAAAACGTTAGGCGAACTAACGTAACACTTCGGCGCTCTAACTCGAACTAGAAAATCTATTATGTTGTTATAATGGGTGTTCTATAAACGATTTTACTAAGAAAATTTATCTTTAAAACTGCAAATTGTATTTACTATAAATATAGACAAATGAGGAAGGCTGTGCCAAAAGATTGGACAAAGTAATATTTGTTAAACTAAAATTAATAAATTTCTAATTGATTTTCAATTAATTGATTGAAGGTCTAATCAAGATACCATGAAACCATGCAGATTATTAATATTACATATCATATTATTTACCAAACTAAGTTAAAAAATCCATATTATTTATTAACTTCATATTATAACTTAATATTTGCATTCGCATGAAAATCTTTAGCTTTCTTGTAAGACTACTGGAATAAAAAATTGTTAAACAAAAGAGATCGATAAAGAAATTATTCAGGTAAGCAGTGCAACATAAGACTGAAGAAATTTTAATTTTATAATGAGCTGAAGCATTTAAACCTCTTTGCATGGGCGCGCGCACCTCAAATAAAATGTTTTGAAAAAAGCAAACAATAAAACTATTTTTAACTTAAATATTTAACAATTTATAACATGAACTACTCTTTAAATATTTTGTAATAAATCAGTCAGCCCACGAGGGAGAGGAATCACTCGACCCATACTGTAGGGTTTTAGCTGGTACACAGACGGATCTAAAACTGCAGAAGGATCAGGTGTAGGAATGTTTAGTAGTGGTGGAAATTTAAACATTTCTGTTTCACTAGGAGAACATGCTTCTGTATTTCAGGTAGAGATTTTTGCTGTCTTGCAGTGTGCAAAAGAAATTATCATAAGTCATTTCGAATTGACTAGTATCAATATATGCACAGATATTAAAGAAGTCAAGCGGAGGCTCTTATAAGCCCTAAAATGGACTCTAGGCTAGTGTTGCAAGGTCGGGAGGAACTCGACAAACTAGTGGGATATAACAGTGTCACACTCGTATGGGTTCCAGATCACCGGGGAATACGCGGCAATAAAAGAGCTGATGAAGTTGTCAGAAGAGCTTCAGATATAAAGCAGTTCGGTACAAGGCCAGGCGTGGAAGTGCCAAAAAGTATCATTCGAGACTGGAAAAAAGCCTGAATCTGAATTAAGTAACAATGTTGGATTAAGGTGTATTGACATTAGCTCTCAACTCGATGGCTAGCGACTTGACGCCCACGGCGTGAAGGAATGAACTTGATACCACCGCGAGGAGGAGTCATAGTAGACGCGTAGATGTGTCCATCTCGACCTCTGTTTATGTACTGAAGACCGATTCTGTATATATAGGGATTAGGGATAAAAACCCGTACTTAAAGATTCACGTTTGAGATTGGTTTCGTGATAGTCTCCGAGCGTGTGTTTCATAGACGTGGTCCGAGGAACATACTTCAAAAAAATGGGCCTCCCATAATAAATTAAAGCTTTTGTATTGCGTATGCAATGTTTTCCGGAAATGCAATAATTTAGATAAATGGTTCAAGAAATTTGATAATTTAAGATCGTATTGGGCTCCATAGGCAGTTACCGACAAGTATATTTCTTGGAACTTGAAAACATATGACTACGTCAATTTTAGAGAGAGGAATTTAAAAATATAAAGGTAAATTGATTTTAACTAGTTAAAACATAAGTATAATTAAATCAGATCTTATTATCTAAAAAATGAATATTGTACAACTGCTGGGGCACTCCGCTGTCACCACTGTACTACTCTGCTGGAGGTTGTATGCTCTATTGTAAAAATCTGGAACTAGAGGGTGAGAAAATCTTCACCACTGTACAACGCTGTCACCACTGTAACATCCTCGATATGGACCTTAAGGATGCTTATTCCTGCGAGCGGCTGCAATGCTACTGGTCCCACTGGTTTGAAATGACTGGCTCGCCTTCGTGAATTTACGAGAAGGTAGAGAAGTTTCGGGATGAGGATTTAAGGACTTCTAGGTCTCAGGTCCTGTAAAGAGTTTGAGTCTATGGGCTTACTTTAGAAGCCGGATAAATGTATAAGCCGAAATTTGGTACTCTTCTGGTCTCTGTCTGAATCGGCCGGAAGGAACATAAAAACAAAATTTAGAGTCTACAAATATATTGAATATAATATGTGGTTTACAATTAAGTTAACAAGATGTCAGATATAATCAATAATAACTCGCTCTGCGCGAAGGAAGACGAGAAGAGATCTTAACAAGAAAGTTAAGGGGTGACAATCTGTACTACTATAATTTACTCGGCTTAGTATATAGAATTTTGTTACCTTTCGCGTATTTAGGCTCTAGCTAATGATACGCCCTTCAGTTGCTCTGGAAATTGGATTTCTTTTGTGGAGATACCGCGATCTGTCGCGATTTTCGAACTCTCAGTACCCGACACTTATACGGAACTATATCCCGTCAAAATATAACAATCGCGCGTAATCCGCACCTGGTGTCACCTCTCGTCTTGACAGCCCTGCCCGAAGATACTGACTGACCGCGTACTGGACGCTATCGCGTCCGGGCGCCTACGGAGCTGGCAATTAATTCCTTGAGCGCTCCCTCGATACTACTGCCTGGGTGACCAATTTTTTTGTTTTTATGTCCCGCGAACATTCCTAGTTTATTTTGCTGATTTTTCTGTACTGTTCCACGTGTTGGAATATAACATGCGATGGTGTGTCGCTTCGTTGTATTAATTTTCACGAAGGTCTTCAGATTTCGCAATTCTTAAACATTCGGGCTTGTGTCAAACTAAATCAATTGTTATCTTTGTATAATTTAGAATATATACGTTATTGTATTTAATATGGAATATATAATAATTAATAAAATGATTATTATTCTCCCTTATGCTACTAGCCCGTATTTTTTCTATTCTTTATTTTCTTGCTATGTTTACATTACAATATTACATAGAAAATAGTAAATATGTACCTAATTAAAATATTAACTAAATAAGACCGTAGTATATTAAAAATGTTAAAAAAAATGTTAAAAAAAAGAATGTTAAAAATATAATATTTGAGTAAATATTACATACTTTTCCAAACAAACAATTAAACACAATTTTGCTTAAACAGTCTTACTAGGTATATACTGCTTTAACTAAGCAAATATCAAAGATTTTGACATACACAGTTTATAGCTTTAAATAAGCCAAAATCACCATTATAATATTAAAATTTGGATATACGTTCTATAATAGAAGCCACAGTTAGAATGTAGTATTGCCTTACAGCGCGATGCCGCTCATGTCGGCACAGTGGCAGGTGTGCGGTAGTTTGACGATAGACTGAGAAATAAGGACAGTACATACGCGCATACGCGCTTCGTTTCAAAAATCTTTTCTCAATAATTTAACTGAGTTAAATAAGAGAATAAACAAAAAAAAAACAAATTAATTCTATAAAAAATACTAAAAAATACCTGTATAGGTACATAAAATATCTAAAACCTCGTAAATACTTATATACATATTATATACAACAAAAATGCAAGAAAATATACAAGAAGAACATAACTGAAATGTACTGTACGTACATTTCAGTACATTAACAGTAGTGTATGTATGTATGTAAATGTAAGTACATACAACAAAAAAACAAAGCATTCAATCTGAGATTCTTCTCATTAAGTAATACTAATCGCAATTCATATCTAAATAGTTCTCATCCTGTGAATCATCTCATATATTAATTATCACCGGTTCAATTCTTCCTGCAAATTGTCCACCGCCAAAATTTTTTCTTCTACTTTCTTGACGTGGTTCACATAATTATTCCACCGCTCTTTAGATACGCATTGGTAAGCTTCTTTTATCAACCATTCTACCATTTTTTCTTTAAAAATCGACGTTGTTTGAAGCCACATATCTTTTCACTTGACTCCACAGTATCCCAATCGGGTTCAGCTCGTAATTTTAATGCAGCCGTCTCAAAATCTTAACGCCATATTTTTCACTTTTTAGGTAATCGTCCTCGAATAAAATGTTCTTTTCGATTAGCCAACCCTTGATTTGCCTTTTGTTTCCCAATTTGTTTCGGGAAATCAAATTTGCGGGAGTGGTAGACGCGTTATCCAAAACAACAACGTTTTGTCTTTCGGAAAGTTTGGAATTAACGTCTTCTCAAACCATTCTTCATATCCATTTCGTCGTGGTAATCAGCGGTTCCCTTCTTGGACAAGAAGGTTAATTCGGCCCATGCTTTAAAACCAGTTTCACTTTCAGCATGAAGAAGAACAAATCAAGGACCTCTTTGGGTTGGAGCTTACAGTCTAGTAGAGAGCTCTTTTATGAAGGCATCTCGTAGATTTTTGGTCGTTGTGTCCCTCTATTCCTTTTTGACTAAAGTACCGACGTTAGTCCAAGAATCATGGGTATAAACAAGGTTTACATTATCCTTCTTAAGCAATGTCTTTATTTGTCTGAGGAACTTGTGTCTCCAGGAAATAATATCTTTTCTTTTTATCATTATCGAATCTCGACCTCTTTTACCATATTCAAAACCCATGTCATTTAGTATTCTACGAAATGTGGTTTTTGAAAAAGCTGGTAGGTCCTCATCAACCTTCATTCTGTTCTTTATGCTGTCGATGGTTGGTGGTATGTTTTCCAAAAAAAATCATGGATAATTTTACTTATTTGAGATTTCACTCCCTCAACGTTAGTAGTCTCACGTGAATCGGACTGGAAACTATTTTTCTTTCTTTTTTGTACTGGTTTCAGTTCGCCTTGCTGTTTCTCTTTGCGGATGTCATAAATTTTACAAACAATCACACCCACAATAATCAAGTTGTCACCATTTTTTAACTTCAAACTATAGTTCAATAAATTTAACACCACACGATTTACTTGCAGACTAACAGTCATACCTTGTTTGCAATTCATGGCAGATACTGGCAACGGCTCCATGATAAAATATTGGGAATACTTCAAACTATAGATACTTTCATCCGCTTACGAAAATGAAATATAACTGAGCTCCTATAGTTTTTGCCAACAAGTTTTTGGTCGAATGGCCAGTACCAAAATCGACAAAGAGACGATGTTTGCTTTTCGTGGACCATGGGGATTAAATTTGATTCGCTTCTCCTAATGACTTTATAATGATCATTATTTTACAGAGAATGTGTTTACAATGGAGGCTATTAAAAATTGATAAATATAGATAGGTTATCGACAATGAGTTTTTGATATATTTTACTTTTTTTATAGTTTTTTCTTCATGATATTATTTAGTTCGACAATGTAACTCTCTTATTTATACATCGATGATTAAATCATGCTTTAGTTGATCTTCCAGTGCTGTGATTCGTAAATCCGGTCTTGATGCCGTGGTCGGCCGTTCTCTCGTAAGAAATACATTGCCTATCTTATAATGCACTGCATTCTAACTTGGGCTTCTCTGTTTCGCATAAAATATGCCCAGACTGAAAATTGTAAATTTGATTAAAAGGGGATTTGGAGTATATATTCTTCATCAAGTATTCAAAGATATGTGCCAAAAATTATACAAGAATTTGTATGTAATAAAAACCCGTTTTTTTCGTCTCTAAATAGTAAAAGTATCAGCACAGAATATAAGATGTAGGTGCGAACTTAAACCCAATCTGGAGTGGTTTTTAGTAACATACTTATTACAAAATTTTTAATGCAAATTCATTCTGCTTCAAACTATAGATTCAACCACATATAATAAAATTTGGTAAGTGTTTCAGACATTTTCATATTAATTCAAATTTTAGGTTTTGAACTCAGTTTTTGCCTTATCGCTAGAAGTTAAAAGTGAGTACGGACGCACTAAAAACGTTCACAATAAAAGAAACTAGTAAAATAAAACAAGATATCTAGTGATGAATGTTACATTCAGCTGAAAGAAATAAAGAAGGATAGTTAACCATCTCATAAAATTAGAAAATATGTCGAAAAGTTTTATAAAATATTGGGAATACTTGTAAACTTGACACAGAAAATAAAAAAGCTTAAAACGCAGCAAAAAGAATGTAAATTTGATAAAAAATAATTTAAAGAAGAAATTATTAAGATTTTGGTATCGTTAAAAATAAAAATAAAGAAAAAAATTAAATTAATAAATAAAATGGTAAATAGTCTTAGTCTCATCATCATCATGTTTCCAATGTCCACTGTTGAATATAGGCCTCTCGCATGCTTTTTCACATGATTCGATTTTGCGCCATTTTGAATCTAATTTGTAGTCACTCTTCTTGTTATTGGTCCATCTCGTCGGGGGTCGGCCTCTGTTTCTGTTACCTTGTATTCGGGGTCTTCATTCCAAATTTCTTTTCGTTCACTGATTAACTTCTCTTACTGTATGACCTACCTAGTTCCATTTTCGTGCTGCTATTATTTCAATAACGTCTACTACTCTGATCATTTGCGTATAATAGCATTAGATATTCTACCTCGTAGAGGAATTCCTAACATTATTCTCTCTATTGCTTTTTTCCGTAACTTGTAGTTTAGTCACTGGTGTTCTTGTGAGTGTTACGGTTTCTGTGCCATGGGCCATCACTAACAGAATATACTGATTAAATAATTCTCTTTTCAGACCCATTGGAATCTTCCTCTTCTTTTTTAGTATACATGACTCTATCTATTTTCAATGTGCCTTCAATCGTCTTCCTATTGGGCAACTATCTCTCACCGTTTTTACTACTCTATTTGTTGTCATTCAGTTTATATGGTTGTTCCATTCTACTCTTCTATTTCTTACCCAGTTCTTGATGTTTCCCACCTTGCATCTACGTCGTCTATTTGTACTTCCAGCTCTGTCCCATAGTGACTTTCTATCAATTTTTCTAAAAGCTTTCAGCTCTGAGTGGCTGTCTGCATTCTTATCGCTTCTCATTTCTCTTCTTTGATCCAGCAGCGTTTCAGTAAATGGACTTATTTTACTATCTGATTTTCTTTTAGGACAGTGCACTAAGACTTAGTTTCTTGTAAGGCGTTTATGGTGCAATTATTCAAGTCGTTAAGATCGTTCTCGGAGGTTTCATGTAGGTAGTAGCTTATTGATATATGCCTGATATTGGTTGATATCTAATGGGGATGTCCAGATACCATAAGATTTATTTTTAATCATTATGTTCCTTTCTCTTTTTATGTTCATTTGGACTTTCGCTCGTATCATTATGTGGTCACTACTTGTGGTGAACTTGTTGAGTACTGTTACAACTTAAATTATTTGTTTTTTGTCACTTATGATGTAGTCGATTTCGTTCCTTGTTCTAGCGTTTGGTCTTTCCCAGGTCCATGTTCTATGCATATTTTTGTAAAAGAAGCTGTTTATGTTATATAAATTCTGGAGTAGGAATCCTAGTAGCGTTTCTCCTCGGGCATTTCTTCCTGGGGAACCGAATTTTCCCAAGGACGTTTCTAGCTCTGCTTCTTTTACACCCATTTTTGCCATGAAATCACTACATAAAATTGTAAATTTAGTAGGAAAGTTATTAAGCGTACGAGATATATCGTCATAAAACATTTCGATTTCTTCGTCTTATAGTCTGTTGTTGGAGCGTATACATGGATAATTTTGAGTTGATATCTACTGTTTAGTTTCAGAATAAGATATGTTACTCTAGATGATATACTTTGGATGTTTGTCTTGTTCGCGTGGTTTTTATGGACAAAGAAACCGATGCCCCCAACTGATGTAGTTTCAGGTTCAATCTGATAGAATATATGTCCTGATTTCAGTGTTTTCAAAGTTTCACCTCTCTTTCTAATTTCGCTGATACCTATGACATCCCATTTCATTTTATTCATTTCAGTTTTCATTTCTGTGAACCTCTCCTCGGACAGTAGACTTCTAGCATTATATGTACTAACGTAGAGAGTTATGGGATTTTTGAATTTCCGTATTTTCCCGAATCCTTGGGACAAACTGATAAATTAGTGTGAGATTTTGTATATATAGAATATCTCCGTTTTTTCCTTTAATTATTACTATTGAATGTAGATGCCAATTGATGGAAGTATTTATCTGAGATAATACGTAAATTTGGATACTCTGGACTCTTGATCATTAATTTGTGAACTTAAAAATATGTTAAAACGTAGATATTTTTTGTACATTTCTTATCTAAATTAGCAATCAATGAGAACAATTTAGTAATCAATATGAATTAGTCATATTTAAGATTTTTTGATATGAATTTAAAAAGATATCTTATCAAGTGGTTCTAAACGACATTCTTTTACTACATTTTAATTTGATTAATAATTTTTTTAAATTCATTTGGTTAGCAAGAAACATGATCACCATGAAAAATTCCATCTTTCTTTTGTTACTTTTTGTAGTTAGTATTAAAGGTAAGTTTGCCTAATTTAGATTTCTAGCTTACTAATGCTGCATTCAGTTTTATTATAATTTATGATAATGATAATCCGTGGTTCCATGTGTAGACTGTCGATATCAATTTATTTAATCTAATTTATCTCCCATTTATAATTTATTTCTCAGATTATGTCATCGATTTTCTATTTCATGTCCCTTGTGTGTAATAACCTTCAACAATTCTATTTCTTATATTAATTAAATATCTATTTTTTGTACCATTCGTACGTCTCACTTCTATGTCTTTTTTTTTTAATAAAATGTATTTTGTTTTAAATTTTCATATTTTTTCATAAAAGTCGTTGCATGTCGCATTAAAGTTTAATTTACAGTACAGTACTACCTTTCCACCAAATTCATCATCGAGAAGACACGCTCTAAAGGAGCGGGGGTGCCTGGTAGGTACAAATTATATTGCACCATTTTTACCAGGTTGGGTGCATCGATGTGTTGTTCGTGAAAATATTGAAATAGTTGAACCCATTTGTCAACATACTCAATTTGCATCGTCGTTTAATTCTATTTTTTATTCTTTCATGCTATAAAAGTTTTAGTAAGTGACAACTCATCAAAAGGTTATTAGTATTAATCTTATGGTACAAAATTGCTATTTATACATTCTTGAAGATTAAATTTTAATCTTTGTAACTCCAAACTAATGATAGTTGCACTTGCTTCACTGTTTTCCATGAGTAATACAGTCTTGTTAAAATGGCTTAATTGTTCATGCAGAAACCAAAAACATAATTCACTTGTCACAGTTTCGAAGAAATCTCGCATTTCACGTAGACAGTATTTTGAATTGTATTGTGGAAAATATGTGCGCCACATCCAATTTCTACAATATCTACAGCGAATTCTTGTATGAGCCTACTGTAAACATCGTTTTGTCCTCTTCAGTGTATACTTTCAAAACTTGAATTACAATTGCCGCCACCAAATGCAGCTACTTTTTTGACAATGTTATGACGATGTAATATTGAAATTATATTTTTAGTCAATATCTCGGATGTCACACCGTAAACAGACACAAAATTCAGTAGTTTCAATGTAAACCTTCCAATTGTAAAAAGTATCTATCAATAATAGTAAAAAAAGCCTTCTGCAAAATTATGTGTAAATCATAGACAGAGCTGCTAACACATTTAAAATTTTCGCTTCACGTTTGGTTCTCACAACTCCAAATTTTAATTAAAATAATTTTTTCATAAAAGTCGTTGCATGTCGCATTAAAGTTTAATTTACAGTACAGTACTACCTTTCCACCAAATTCATCATCGAGAAGACACGCTCTAAAGGAGCGGGGGTGCCTGGTAGGTACAAATTATATTGCACCATTTTTACCAGGTTGGGTGCATCGATGTGTTGTTCGTGAAAATATTGAAATAGTTGAACCCATTTGTCAACATACTAGATACATACATATTAATTTCGACGTAGAATTCTACAATCTAGATTTCTACAATTAGATATTCTAAAACTTGTATTATGCATTGCTGTGTGATAAGCGAATGTGACCTCTTCTGCAGAAATAATTACATCATTTTGAAATTTTAATGGGATCATTATTTTTAAAATGTTTAATGGATGAAGTACTTGCTATAACCGTTTCGTCAGCCTTGTATTTTGCACAATATAAGTGATCTTTAATATTTACTGGCCCACCGTGCTCAATTGCTCGCCATCCGTGAAAACTCAGAAAAATATTGTAGACATTTCACTCTGCTATCGATACTACAAAGATTTTTTTATAAGAGTATAATTTTTTGACAGTTCGCTTATAAATTTACAATTTGTCAACTGCAAGTGGTTAGAGTAAACTGAAAGCTATGTACTATACTGAGAGCGAGCAAAGCGAAACAAATATAAAACAAGGGTGTGTAAATTTGTGGTTTTTGATTTGTACAAACGGGATAAAATATCAAACCGGCCGGGACGCCTGGTCCGTTGTCTAAAACAGGGATAGTTCCCATTAAATCGCGACGTATGGAAAGCCTACTTATGCTGATCTTAACCAGTACCTATATTATGTTAATGTTTATAAACTGATTGAAACAATTAAATGCCTACTTATTGTGCTGTAATCCGCTGTAACTCACAACAGAATATTTATCATCATCATTTTCATCAATCAGCCCTGATTTGTCAATTGTCAAACATATGCCTCTTCTAGATATTTCCATTTATTTCTGTTCTGCGCCTCTGCTATCTAATTGGTCACAATTATTTTTAAGTCTCCACTAAATTAATTTTTCTTGCAATATATATTTTTGTCTTGTAATACGTTTCACTCCGATTAGATTAAGGGAACCACAAACAAAGGAACAAACTGTAAAAACTCTACTGAAAATCTACGTAATGCCCAAGAACTGAATAAAAGTAGCTATAACATTGATCAGAAATGGGAAAATATAAAAGTAGCAATAATTAAAACAGCAAATGAAAACTTAAAACCAAAGAATAGAAAACATAAAGATTGGATGACTGAAGAAATACTACTATTAATGAATGAAAGAAAATCATTCAAAACAAAAAATCCAATTAAATATAATGAAACTGATCGATTATTAAAAAAGAGAATAAAAGAAGCTAAGGAGAGAATGTTATATGAGCAGTGCCAAGAAGTAGAAGAAATTGAGAAAAAATATGACTTTTTTAACATGTATAAAAGAATTAGAGAATTAACAGGAATGAGAAAAACACTTCAAACTAGGCAACTAAGAGATGAAAGGGTGCACTTATAACAGATATAAACCAAAAAATGCAGAGATGGACACAATATATAGCACAACTTTTTGAAGACAAAGAGAGAACAGAAGCACCAAAAGAATTTAAGGATGATACTGGGCCTGACATTATACGAGAAGAAATTGTATATGCAATGAAACAAGCTAAAGGTGGTAAATCTCCCGGGCCTGATGAAGTTCCTATCGAATTACTTAAAATTGTGAATACTGAATCTATTGATCTTCTTTTGGATCTATTCAATACCATATATAGAACAGGTATAATACCTAAAGAATGGCTCCAATCAACATTCATACTGCTTCCCAAAAAAGCCAATGCAAAGGAGTGCAATGAACATCGCACCATAGCCTTAATGAGTCATGTCTTGAAATTGTTTTTAAAAGTAATTCACAATAGAATACATAAGAAATTAGATGAAGGCATAAGTAATACACAAATGGGATTTAGGAAAGGACTGGGAACACGAGATGCACTGTTTGCAGTAAGTGTTCTTTCGCAGAGATGCTTAGATATTAATCAGGAAGTATATGCGTGTTTCATTGATTTTGAGAAGGCATTTGACAAAGTGCAGCATAATCGACTTAAAGAAATTTTATTAAATAAAAACATAGACAGTAGAGACATTATAATCATCTGTAACCTCTATTGGAATCAAACAGCAAAAGTTAAAGTTGAAAACGAACTGACCAAGGATATCCAGATTTGCCGTGGGGTCCGCCAAGGGTGTATTTTATCACCCTTGTTATTCAATTTATACAATGAAGCCATCTCAGAATTAGCGCTTGCCGAAATCAGTGAGGGCCTTATAATAAACGGTGAGCCACTTAATAACATAAGATATGCTTACGACACCGTCCTTCTGGCGGAACACTAGAAGAACTGCAACACCTTGCTGAACAACTAAATATATATTGCAACGATTATGGACTAAAAATCAATTTGAAGAAAACCAAGTTCATGGTATTTACAAAAGCACAAAACATCAAAGTTACGCTAGTAATAGATAATACAGAAATTAAACAAATATCTTCGTACAAATACCTTGGAGCATGGATCACAGAAGATACTGATCAGACAAAAGAAATAAGATGCCGCATTGAAATTGCGCGGTCAACTTTTGCGCGGTTTGGTCAAACAAACGAACAAGTTCTCGAACAACTAGGAAAATAATGCGAAGTTTTAAATTCCATAAAAATCAGGAAATTGGAATACTTGGGGCACATCATGAGAGGTGAAAAGTACGAACTACTAAGGAATATAATGCAGGGTAAAATCAAAGGTAGAAGAAGCGTGGGAAGACGTAAAATCTCGTGGCTACGCAATCTTCGTGAATGGTTTCGATGCAGTTCAATTGAACTATTCAGGCGAGTAACCAATAAAATTATAATTGCCAGAATGATTTCCAATCTCCGATAGGAGTGGAACTTGAAGAAGAAGAAGCACATGCATACTACCAGTTTCGATCTACGGGTTATAGACCAGAAAATGTGCTAAAAAAACGCAGAAACAACGCAGAGCAATGGAACGAAACGTGCTTGGAATATCACTGAAGACTAGTTTATAAACACCGAGATAAGATATAGAATGAAGATCTATATCGTGAAAGAAATAACAAAAATCAAATGGCGCTAGGCCGGTCACATCGCCAGATATGATGATAACAGATAGATAACGAAGAATCTTAGAATGGAGACCGAGGGAATGTCAAGAAGCATGGAAAGACCTTAATAGACATTCGTAGATAAAATAAGAGCAGTGGCAGGCAAACAGTGGATTATATTGGTGCAAGATATATAGTGGATTATATTGCGTTGTTTCTAGTTAAAAAAAGTGAAAGCTATATTCAGGACTGGGTGGAAAATAGTTGACGAAGAAGAAGACTAAATTTAAATTAATAATATTTAAATAAACGAAATGCTTTTTGTCTTACCATACTATTTCCAATATCTCATTGATAGGCAGTACTAAACCCTATTCATTCGAGTGAGGTTTGCTAAATTTGGTGATTAACTAATCTATATAATAAGATAGATAGATAGTTATTTTTCTGCCCCTATTTCCAACATTTCCTGTCTTGAGTGCCCACTTCGTTACATCGTCTCGCCAGCTTCTTTTTCGTAGCTATTTCTGTATTTTGTGAATAAAACCTCAAATATTTTACTCTATTTATTCCTTTTTTTATGCATTCTACAGAATCAGGTTTTCGACTATGTTTTTCCAACTGCCAGATATTCGCATTTCTCTAAATTTATTGTCAAGTTGCATTCTTCATATGTCATTTGTAGTTTCCTAACCATATAACTTAAATCATCAATATTCTCTGCTATCACAAGCTGGCGACCCAGGCAAAGTATAGTTTTTTTTTAGAAAAAGATGTCGCATCCACCAAAAGGTTATTAGCGACGGAACAAAATATAAAAAATAAAGTTAAACACCTACAGATTGTACAAAATGTTTATGAATCTAAGATTATTCACTATATTGTTACAGGAACAGTTTTGACCTAGAGCCTGTAGTAGAGCGTTTGGGTTCTTGTAGCGCTGTCTTTCTTGGTCATATTTACTACAAATTGTTAAAAAATGTTCGACTGTTAATCGGACGTTACACTGATCACATATAGGTGGATTTTTCTTTGTGAAAAGGTAGGAGTACGTTAATCTGGTATGTCCTAGGCGTAAACACGCAACCGCAATTTGTTCTCGTCTATTGAGCGACGATGGAAACCACTGAGACACATCATTTTTGATTTGAATTGAATTGGAATTAGTTTGAGACCACTCATTTTGCCACAAACACCACACTTTATTTTTAAAATAAGCTTCTAAGTCACTAAAAACACACTTGTCTATCGGCTTTGACAAATCACTTAAAATTGCTTCTCGTGTAGTCCTGTCAGCTTCTTCATTTCTTGTTATTCCGACGTTTGAGGGAACCCATAAAAATTGGACGCTTCTTCCATGTTCATAAGAAATAATAATATCTGGAGAATATTTAGATAAAAGAAGCTGTAGCATAGGGAGACGATGAAAAAATCCATCAATGTTCCATTGAAGTATCGAGTTGAATGTTGTTAACAAATTCGGAGTTAGATGATACTGAACAATTGTCTACAGAAGAGTCACTATCTAAGTCAGAAATCTCTTTCTCTAAATGGTTATATAGTTTCTTTTGAAGTTTTCTAAACTTGCTTTTTGTAGATCTATCATTTGCATATTGATAGCTGCTTTGTAAAAGATGGAGTAAACCATGGATATCAGTTGTTAATTCTTTGACGACGCTAATAGTGTCGGAGGAGCCTTGGACATTATCAATCAGTAAGGACAATTGGTGGTAATTTAAAACGAATGGTGGGGTATGATTATCAATGAAATTTTCAAGAGTTTCCCGTGTAGATGGGACTTTATATGAGCGCGGTTTTTTTTGGTTTAGAGGGTTTGGGTTTTGCAAACAGATTTTCTGATGAAATTACTGAGTCTGAAGGAGGCGTGACAATCTCACCAATACTGCGTTTTATGGAAGAACTTGTGTTTTCGGAATTGTTATTAGAGTTTTCACTTAGATGCTGTGGCTTTATTACATTTGGAAGTACTGGAGCAAACTCCTTGGTAGTGACAGAACTCGAGCTTGAAGTTTTATTTGTAAGATTGGTTGAAATGGTTGTTTCAGAAAATTGTCTTGATGTATCAGTTTTATTAGAATTTTCTGTAGTTGTATCTAATGATAATGGAGCTGATAGATTGGATGATATTGCTTCCGAAGTTTGTGAAAACGGTATTGCTACTGAATGAGGTTGATTGAAAGTGTTGTTATGAGTACGAGCGTTAGTAATTTCTTTGTCATGGAGATTTGTAGGTGTAGGTGATATGCTTGGATTTGATAATGGATAACTTGATGACTGCTGGGTGTTTGGTACCTTGTGTAGTATACTTGTTGAAGCTGTTTGATTTGGTTCTTCATTTTTTGACTCAATATGAGTTGATTCCGTTACTGAACTGCATTGGGATGATATGTTTCCTGTATTTTTGCAAATAAAGCAGGTAAGTGTACCTTGTGACAAAAATATGCGGTAAGGCGTTTGATCGAAATTTATTAGAATAGAATCTGGAATTGGTGATGTTATAGGGCTTATATAATCTCGCCTCCGAAAGCTCAATATGTGACTATATTCGGGGAGAGTCGAGCTAATTTTCAGAAATGATATTGGAGAAATAAGCTTTAAACCGATATTCTGTAATTCTTCAACCAATACTTGATGAGGAATTGACGGGCAGACTCCAGAAAAGACTAGTCTTTCTGCTGGAGAGACAAGTCTTCGTGCTGTTACAACTTCGCCGAGTACTTCTATACAGCCATGTTGTGTCATGAAGTTATCTACTACGGTTTTGTTTGCCAAATACATGCAGATTTTATTATGAGATAATCTAGATGAAAAAATAATATTTTTTGGGTTGATGATTGTGCCCAAAGGAATGAGATAATCCTGCAGTTTAGCATTATCGATGCAACTAAATACAATTGCTTGGGTCTTACTCGGAAAAAAGTGTGAAGCGGCTGATGCACAACTGTTTGTGATATTCGAACGTTGATTTACTGGACTGTTTAGATCGGAATGTGTGTTTACATTCTGTGAACTCATTTTAAGCTATTGCGGCGAAGGCCTTACTCCGACTCTGGTAAGTGAAAAACTAACCGCATGCTACTATAAGGTACTTATAACAGCTAACCTCACAAAATGATTGTACGGTAGTATATATTTATTATTGACGTTTTCTTTTCACACTAATAAAATAATAATTACGTATAGATGACTTACGTAGTAGTATCTAGTAGATAAACACTTTAATTTTAAAAAACTATTTAATAAAACCACTTGTTTTTATTAAAAACTAGGAGTACGATATCAGTACAACTTAACCATACCTTGCCAGGGCCGGTCTCCGCAAAGTATAGTGTATATATTATGTCATCGTATATTTGTATTCTCATTTTTCTGCATTTTCTTTGCTATTTTTAAAGACAGATATATTTTAAATAGCGTTGGCGATACACAATACCCTTATCGTAGCCCTTTCGTAATATTGAATTGCTCACTTAGTTTGTTTTCTATTTTATCTGATGTTATATTATTTGAAAAATACTGAAAAATACTAAAAATAAAATAATTTTTATGGCTCTTATTCACGAATATTTAATTTCGATTGTCTGCATTTTACTCCACAGCTCCTTTATCGGTACGTTGTCATAAGCTTTTCCTAAATCTATCAGCCCTATATGTGTTTTACTATTTCTTTCTTGTTACTTTTTGATGTAAATCGATTGTTTATTGTTAGTATTTCGGCTTTAAAACCGCATTTGTTCTTCCATACTATAGTAAGAATTACAGAGCGTCCTCTATAGTTTCTAACATTATTCCTTCTTTATTTTTTGTCTCTTGGAGTTGTATAGGCATTAAGCTCTTCCTGTAGAGTTTCTTCTCCATTCAGACATCATTGAAAAAGTTTTTTTAACATTTCCATAATTTAGTGGAGCCAGATTTAATAAGCTCAGGTGGTTTGTTTCCTGGTGCTTTTCTGAGCTTATAGTAGGAGCTAGAGTGTTCTGCTTAGACGAGACCGGACCTAGAAGTTCCAGATTACAGGTAATCTGGAATTATTTCTTTCTGACGTTTATCTGCTGTTACTTACATTGTTAAATGTAACTAAGCCAATCAGAAAACCTTTTGCTACTGACAATTTCTGCCTTAGTAGCAAACTCTATTTCAGTAAGAAATAATATCAAAAGCACAGCTTCTTAGTCTAGATATTCATGTATCAAAAATAAATTTAAAATGTTTTGCTAACAATAGATCTAACTAGGAAGTCCAATTACAAATTAAAAAAAGATGTTGAAAATGAAAAAAATATATTCCCTTTACAAATACTTATTTTCATTACCTTATTTATTTTATTCTACAGGTTCACCACTTTCAACCTATGGAATATTTGGGGGCCAGGACGCAGTGGAAGGACAGTTTCCATACCAGGTATCTCTTCAGATAGACAGCTGGCCTTTTGGCTACCAGCACTACTGTGGAGGTTCTATCATTTCTCCAAACTGGATTGTTACTGCCGGGCATTGCTGTTGGACTATGTATCCTAGCCTTCATGTAGTCGCCGGGATATTGAAGGTGCATGACCAAAACGAGTACACGCAAGTTAGATTAGTTGAGGAGCGTTACATACATGAAAATTATACTTAGTAAGTTTGATTGGTGTGAATCATAAACCATACATTTTATTGTATTTGTAATTTGTATTAACCAACAAACAAAAAAAATAAGTAGTTCTAAAGAAATAGGATTTACAGGTTTTAGTCCGATCATTATATATAATATAATGAATAAGTGTGGCGGATATTAGTAATATAGGCGAGCAGTTTACCCCTATAAGCAGAGCATCAACCGACTAAAATTCTTTTTGCATTTCTAATGCACCAAACCTTTTTCATTTGATTCTATATATTTTTCGAAGATTTTATGCACGCACATATTATACACGCTTAGCGGGATACTCTCGAAAGGCATATTCGAAATATTTGGGTCCACGTTTTTAGCGAGATAGAAACCATTTATCCTTGTCAAAATATTCCAACTTATACTCGATGGTTTAAAGATTATAAAGCTATTTGTAAAATTGCAATTCATTTAGTAGTTTTAAAAAATCCCAAAAATCACTAATTAAGGCAATTTTTCAACAAAAAATGCAAATAACTCGAAAATAGTACATTGTTTACCGGGTAGGAAAAGCTTAACATTCCTGGACGACTGTGAAGATTGCTAAGTCGAGGCGCAAGCCGAGACTTAGCAACACAGATTCCAGGAATGTGGCTTTTCCTACGAGGTAAACATACTATTTTTCCGCAAATCGTTTAAAATTCGACAGATATTGATTGATTTAAAAAAAACGCGATAATTTTATTCCCAAATAAATGGTGCTTTGAAATTCCTAATAAAATTACTTGGGTTACTATGGAAACGTATTGAGGTTGAATTGTCAAACTTGACAATTTATGTAGCACACTAACAACTGTACGGAAATATCATTTCCTGGAAATACCATTTCATACAGTAAGGAAATGACATTTCCTTACAGTAAGGAAGTCCTGACTTTTTCTTCAAGAAATTTTGACAGGAATGTCAAAATTTCCTGGCGATTTGCGGAAAAGATGCATTTTTCGAAAAATTATCAAGAAAGAAAAAGTGTTTATTTTGATGACATACACCTAAAAAATTGATTCCGAAGCAATTCGGTGAAATTGCTTTTTTGTATAAGTTATTTGTTAACATTTGCCGGCCCACTTGTAAAAATAAAAAAAAAATACATTTCATCTTGGAAAAATATATAGAATTGAATAAAAAAGGTTTGGTGCATTAGAAATGCAAAAAGAATTTTAGTCGGTATATTCTGTTTCTAAGCGTCTTTTGAGGGGTAAACCGCTCGCCTAATATACAGACGATGTTCGAATAAGAACTAGAGACCGACAGTCTACACAGTTTATACAGAAATATATGGATATAAATCAAGAAATACATGAGTGCTTTATCGATTTTGAACAAGCGTTTTAACCGAATATGGCACGATAAGTAACGAAACGTTGTTGAGAAGATATCCCAATAAATAAAAATAGTTAGAGGTACGACAAGGATGAGTCTTGCTACCAATGCTATTTAATGTTTCTTGTTATGATATCTAAATAAATTTACAATTTGTATAACCAATAATACTCTTTCTTCTTATTTGTGTCTCATGCTTGTTTTCAAGCGTTGACTATCGTCATGTTAACAAGCTGCCGGAATGCTTCTCAGTCGGTAGCTACATGGAACAATTCCTCGAGTGTTTGCCCTGTCCACTGTCTAATGTTACGCAACTACAACAGTTTTTTCTTGCGACTCAGCGTTTTCCTTCTATTTTGCCTTGAATGATCAATCGGAGCAACGCGGTCGTAACACCACAAGTAAAACACTTCTAACTTTTATTGCCTAGGTTTTACATCGATAAATCAAAGAGACCCAAACGTACAACTTTGGTACACTTAGACGCGTGTTCAACCAATAATAATTCTTCTTCTTTTGGTGCCTATTAGTTTCGAATATTGGCGGTCATTCTGGCTATAATTATTTTATTAATTGATGATTATTTTCTGTAATTTGTATTTAGTGCCGTTTCTCATTAAATGTCATAGATATTCTAACTTTCTCCTTTTAATCGTATACATTACCCTTCTTTCTTTCCCCATAAATCGTAGTACAGTCTCGTTGGTTATCTTGTCCGTCCATGATATCCTCAGGATTATTCTGTATAGCCACATCTCGAAGGCTTCAAGTTTTTTCTCCATCGCTTGAGTGTCCAGGATTCAACTCCGTAGTATTATATCGAGAAGATATAACATCGTAGGAGCCTTACTTTTATATGCAGATATATATATATATATATATATATATATTTATATATATATATATATATATTATATATATTATATATATATATATATATATACTTGTAGTCCAAATCTTTCACTTCATTAACTTTGTTTATTAAATGTTGTAAACTTTTTAATCTGTCTGCAAAAATAACGGCGTCATTTGCATAGCGGATGTTTATTAGGCGTTTATCGTTTATTAGCGTTTATTAAACTGTTTGTCTTGTATTCTCTCTTCGCATAGCTTGTATAATCTGCAATGTATAATTTTAAGAAAAAGTTTTAGTTTATGGCTCATTAGACTTATTACCCCATATTCTCCACACTTTTTCGCTCCGTTTTTCTTTGGTAACGTACTAAATTCTGAAACTAGCCAATCTTTTGGGATATTGCCTGTGTCATAGATATTACTGAAGATTTTACATAGTATTCTTTAAAGATTCATCATCAAGAAGTTTAAGAAATTCAGACTGTACTCCGTCTGGTCCTGGAGCTGTCGCTTCTTTTAGTGATATTATGCCTGCTCTTATTTCTGTCACTAGTATAGGTGGTCTTGTTTCCGTAGGTATTGGGGACTGGTTCTCCCTTTCATCAAAAAATAAATTTCGTATATAATTTTTCTAGGTATTATCAATAGTCCCTTTGTCCACGATTACCTATCCGTTGTCATTAACAAGTTTACTTACTCTCCTCTTTATACACTTGCCTGTGATTTCTCTTACCTTTTTATGCACGTTGAAGTCGTATTTACTTTGTAGAATTTCGATTTCTTGGCACTTTTTCTCCAGTTCTTTCTGTTTGGCTTCTCTGATCTTTCTCTATGTATCTCATTGTAATGTTTTATACATAAAGTTATTGTTCTTGTTCTTCCTTCTTTCTTCCATCAGATACAGAATCTCTGTCGTCATCCATGTCTTACTCTTACCTTCTTCGTTCTTCATAAAAGTGTCTTTATTGTCGTCTATCGGTTTATTAAGTGATTCTATCTTCTCTTTTGTGCTTTTCGTTGTATTATCGATTTCTTTAAATCTTTTATTTATTGTTTTGCTGACTATTTCTTTTACTTCACTACATTTCAATTTTCTCATGTTATATGTTATATTATACCAATAATACAATGAGTGAATATTTTAAGAACTAAAAACAGAAATGTAGAAACTATCCACTTATATGTTCGTTTTGTTCTAAGTAGTTCTATTCGTTTAGTCATTAAATTCACTACTTAAGAATTTTTGGTGTTTTTATTGAGTGTAATTCTCAGAATATATTGCACATTTTGCTTAGTATAGGTCCCAATTACTTTGTGTGAGCAAATATATGTTTACTTTATATAATGTATGAATATATATTGTTGAGGTAATTGTTGGAAATAACACTGATTGTTCTGTATAACTGTATAAGGTAATGTCCAAAGGTTTTCTGGGCTTTGGAATAAACATAACTTTCGTCACTTTTTCTGTAGTGGAAAGTGTCGGTCCTTAAGAGAGAATTATAGATTTATGTTGAAAACTTTAAGCCTTTACAAAAATTACATTTTTAAACCTTTAGAACTTTATACCTGTGAGTATTGCGATTTTAATGGTGATGTGGTCTCCAGAGCTTTCTATCCTCCCAGACACCTTCTCTGAGATATCCCTCCATCATGTCATACTCTCTCTTCAATCCTGACCCCCCCAGGGGGAATCTTGTTGGGGATCTTCCTCGTGATCTTCGGCCTTCTACCTTTCCTTGTATTATGAGTCTTTCCATGTTTTCTGTGTTTGCTCTCATAACATGCCCAAAATATTTTAATTGTTGGAGATGGACTTTACTAGAGAGTCGTTGGCTAACTTTTAGCTCTCTTAAAATTAAATTATTTGATCTACGGTCGGTCCAAGGAATTCGTAACATTTGTCTCTAACAGAACATTTCAGTGGCGTCTATCTTTCTTCTCTCCGATTGTCTCAAAGTCCAAGATTCACATCCGTAGGTCAGTATTGGGAATATTAAGCAGTTGATCAACCTCATCTTTATCGCTCTTGAGATTTGACAGTCCTTCCATATTTTGGTCATTTTTGCTGTGGCAAATTTGCTAGATCACATCTACGTTTAATCTCTTCTTGTAATGATCCTGTGTTTGTGATTAATGATCCCAGATATAAGTATGAGCTCACAATCTCGAACCGGTCAATTGTGGTTATGCGTGGATGATTGTTGTGTAGTCTATCCACTATCATGATCTTTGTCTTTGATATGTTTAATTGCAGACCAAATATTTGACTTTCATTTTCGATCAGTCATATAAGTTCTATCAGCTCTGCTTGATTATTTGCAAGAAGGGCTGTGTCATCTGCGAAACGAAGGTTGTTAATTTATGACCATTTATTGAGATGCCCTTTTCCCATCCTTCAAGTGCTCTTCGCATAATATACTCCCCATATATGTTGAATAATTGTGGAGTTAGTAAACATCCTTGTCTGACACCCCGTTCTGGATGAAATTCGTTCGAAAGTGTGTCAAGTACTTTAACTGATCCAGTAGTGTGTTCATATAGTTCGGTTATAAGCGTAATTAGATGTTGTGGTACGCCTACTTCTTTTAGTATTCGCCATAAGTGTCTCCACTTGACCCTGTCGAACGCTTTACGGTAATCTATAAAACAGATGTATAGTGGGATGTTAAATTCCTTAGATTTCTCGATTATCTGTCTTATATTCAGCAGGTGTTCTCGAGTGCCTCTACCTTTGGTAAATCCAGTTTGCTCTTGTGAAATTTCTCTTTGAAGGAATGTTTTCAGTCTCTCATTGATTATATGTAGCATTATCTTGCCGGCATGGGATATAAGAGAGATAGTTCTATAATTGTCGCATTTTGGAAGCTGCCTTTTTTATGTATGGTCGTTATTGTAGATTTTGTCCAGTCTGCAGGCCATTGTTTGGAATGCCATATTTGGTTACAGAGTAGATGAAGTAACTTTACGCCGGTTTCTTCTGTGGCTTTAAGCATTTCTGCTGTTATCATATCTGGACCTGGTACTTTGTTATATTTGAGCTTGTTGATAACCTGTCATTACCAATATATATTTTCTATCTCATAGCTGATCTCCCACTCCTTCTTCTTCCTGGAAGTTGCCATTCCATTACTCTTTTTGGCCACCTATGGCTTGACATATACCAGGATCCGGATATCATAACATTCATTAAAATAGGAAGGCTACGTTGGATTGGACATGTGGAAAGAATGGAAGAAGGCGAAATACCAAACAAAATATTCAAACAAGTGCCAGTAGGAAAAAGAACAAGAGGAAGACCGAAGCTGAGATACGTAGAACAAATAGAAAATGATATAACAACATTAAAAATTAAAAACTGGAAAAAAAAAGCACGAAACAGGTCAGAATGGAGAAGAATCCTTGAACAGGCCAAGACCCAAAAAGGGTTGTCGAGCCAGTGATGATGATGATGGCTTGACATTCTTGGAACATGACCGTACCATTGTAGTGCTTTTTTTTTAATTTTTTTGTTATTGAGTATTTTAATTCACTATTTTCATTTTTATACCTCGTATGTATATGGGTAATGATACGACCTTTTCTCTTTGATATTTCAACATATCCATTTTTGTGTTTTCTGGTTGGGGTGCTTTGTTGCTTTCGCTCTTTTATAATTTTAATGTTGTTTTCCTGAGTGGTGGATAGGAGATCCGACGCCTCCAACCCCCTATGTTACGGAGAACCACGTCTTCCATTCTCAATTCTCTGGACTTCGTATTAATTCTTCTTCTTAAGGTGCCTTCTCCATTACTGAAGGTTTTCTATAACTACAGCAAATTGCTCTCTATTTGAGCTGTTCTTAGTATCGAATGTGTGTTCATGCCTGTCCAGTCTCTTGCATTCTTCAACCAGGAGCATCTTCTTCTTCCTGGACCTCTTCTTCCTTCCACTTTCCCTGCCATTATAGGTCGTAGGAAGTTGTATTTTTCTCCTCTGTAAATATGTCCTAGATAACTCGTTTTTCTATTTTTTACAATATTTAGGAGTTCTCTCTCAGTACCTATTTTTTTAGCACCTCGTTGTTGGTCACGTGCTCTGTCCAAAAGATCTACAGTATTCTTCGAAAAACCCACATTTCAAAGGCTTGGCTCTCTACGTATATTTCATCTGGACCTTAGGCTTTTCGTGGCTTTGCCGTATTGATTGTTATTGTAACTTCCGATGTTAATGTATCAAGTATTGTTTCTTGTACTATATTCATTTGTGGTTCTGTTCTCTCGTCATCAAACAGATGTTTGATGTATTTTTCCCACATATCTCCTACATTTTCTGGACTAGATACTATTTGGTTTTTATCGTCTACTAAAGTTTTTGTAGTGATTTTTTTCTTCATATTTGTGACTTCCTTAATCTTTTTGTATGCATTAAAGTAGTCATGCTTTTTTTAGTAAAACTCCCAGTTCCTCACAGTTGCTGCTCATCAATTCTTCTTTGGCTTTCCTGATTTTGTTTCGGATAATTTTCTGGGTTTTTTTATATTTCTCTTCATTGCGATTTTTGTAAGATCTCCGTATGTCCATCAGTTCTAGGACTTCTTCTGTCATCCATGTATTCTTTGTTTTTCTGATGTTGTCTTGTAGTTGTTCTCATTGAAAAGTTGTGATTGTTGTCTTGAAGGTGTGCCAAATACTTTCTATTGTTTCTTCTGCTTCCGCGGTTAAATATAAGTTGTGATTTTTGAGGATGCAGTCAGTTTATTTGGCCCACAAGACAAAGAAAACTCTTTGACTTACTGTCAAGCTTTCGAATTTTATTTAATTCTTTTTCAAGACATCTATAAAAAGAAATATAAATTAACTAGTTAAAATTGTTAATTGTCTTACTTACTAGTCGTGAGATTACAGTTGTTAATATTATTGTACTCTACAAAACAAACCATTATAAATATATTAAAAATTTTTTTATTAAAAATAACTATATTGTCACTATATATGTCATTGTCATGGTTTGATTAATGGACATATATGAATGAAAATACAGTTACTTTATGTGGAAAGCAAAACCAGTAACAATAGTTTTTATTATAATTTATTTAATTGTCTATAATCTATTTCTCTTCATTGCGATTTTGTAAGATCTCCGTATGTCCATCAGTTCTAGGACTTCTTCTGTCATCCATGTATTCTTTGTTTTTCTGATGTTGTCTTGTAGTTGTTCTCATTGAAAAGTTGTGATTGTTGTCTTGAAGGTGTGCCAAATACTTTCTATTGTTTCTTCTGCTTCCGCGGTTGCTTCACTGAACTTTTCTTTGAGTGTATCATTTAGTGTTTTTTCTATTTCTGAATTTACTATTGGATCTTTAAGTTTTTCGAGGCTAGGTTTTATCTTTTCTCTGTATTTGATGTTCTTTAGTTTAATTGAAATTTTACCAACAACAGGATTGTGGTCGGAACCGATGTCCGCCCCGGGATATGTTTTAACTTCCCTGATTTCATTTCTATAACGTTTGTCAATTAATATATAATCAATCTGGTTTCTTATTATGCGGTTTTGAATATTTGATTATTGCCAGGTGCTCTCAACTAAAAATAAAATTTCTCGGCATTCACAATTTGGAGTTTTACCGTAAGCGAAATTTATAGACCCTTTATTTTAAACTTTTGCAACTTTTACTTTGATAAGAATCACGGAAATGATTCGGAAATGAACACGGAAAATCACGGAATTTTGACGCTTCCCTCTTTATTTATTTTGGAAACGGTTTGTTTGATTCGAAAGCATCTAAACATTTTTCCCGATAGACCTGACCATGGCTACTCCATTAGAAATTCGGATTGTAACGTTTATTTGCCGATCCCGTCCACTCAGCTAGTAAAGAATTCTATTCTATATCGTGCAAAGAAACTTTATAATCACCTTCCAAGAGAAATTAAATCCGCAACATCCCTCATTAAGTTTCGTAAGGTGACAAAAATCTATCTCTCAGAAAGACCATATTACTCAGTTGACGAGTTTCTTAATGTATAACAAAGAAACAAAATTAGTATTGTTTATAATTACATTTGGGTGTCTCAAGCAGTGGCTACAATTTGTCTCATTTGTTGTTGTTTGTACAAATTATGTAGGTTATACAATAATTTTACTAATTTAAAATTGTGTTATTTTGTTTTTTACTATATTGTTTTTGTTTTATACTTTTTGTATTATTTGACTGATTTATTTTTTAGCTTTGTCCATAAAATTGTTCAATAATTTTCAGTGACAATAAAGCATATTTCTATTCTATTCTAGAACATATTAAATAAATTTTTATTGTCATTTTAGTGGTGTGCAGCCAAACGATATCTGCGTAATTAAGGTAAACGAATCCTGGGTTTTTAATGACAGAGTTAAACCAATAGCTCTTCCTATCCAGGATTTTAATGCCGTAGGAAAAGGAGTATCGTCTGGTTGGGGGCAATCGGCAGGAAATTTATTCCCACAGTTCCCTGATACATTACAATGGCAAGAATCAGAAATTCCCGATGAGGAAAGTAAGTTTCTTTTCTAGCTATTTTAATCTCATCTGATAAATCAGAAAACTATGGAATTATGAAACTTAAATCTTTACAATAACTTCATGGTATCTCCATGTTCTTCGTTATAGTTGTCTATTGTGATATTATTTTCATTGTCAAGTATCCCTTTAACTGTCATGTACTTGGTTTTTATTTTATTTATTTCAAGTCCCATTTTTCTTTCTTTGGAATCAATTTTCCTGAACACTTATTTCTCATAACACACTACACAGTAATTTGTACCGATTTGGTTTTTATTTGGTCGGTAATATTGGTTTTTCTGATGACCGCTTCAAAAACTAGGTTGAACAGCATGGTTGATAATACGTCTCCCAGCCTTACTCACACGTTGATGTTAAGAAGCTCTACTATTATTAACGCTCATATTAGAAATATGCCTGCGTTGGTTATGGGGTGAACTGAGTAGCTAAACTCCTAATGTAGCCGGGCTCAAGCCAAGATAAAATATGAGGAATAGAGGAGTAACACCTATATGAAATGGCCCGGTTGATAGCACCTTCTAAGGGCCCACTTGTCGAGGATTATGGATGAAAATCACAACAGCGAGTAAATACAAACAAATTCAGGGAAACGTCAGAAAGAAACTTTGAGGGACAGAAACGAGGTGGCTCTCCGACAGATCCAAGGAAAGAGAAAATCTGGAAGCTTTAACTTACACAAAAAACGTAAGTATGGGTAAAAAAGTAAGGATAGGTTTTAGAAATAGTACAAGAACGAATATCCTTAAAATGATAAGGGGATATAATTAATGGTGTAAAGAAGTGATTGCGTTAATGTACCAATTATATCCAACAGCTATTTAATGATGAAAGAACAGACCTATCATTAAAAACCTAAGGGGATAAAAACACAGGTAATACCTAATCACCAAAATTACAAGAAGTAGTCATATATGCCACCAAAAATACAAGAGACAGAAAAGCTCTTGGACCAGATGTCCAAATTATTAAATCTTAGTGATGAAGATGTTACTGATGTCATAGTCGAACTCTTTAATCCAATATATCAAACTGCCACAATCCACAGATAATGGCTGCAATACACCCTTGTTTCAAGTGCCCAAAAGTCAAGTGCAACAACCTGCTTAAATCAAATTACAATAGCCTTAATAAATCACACACTTAGTAGCTTATTGAAAATAATAGACAGCAGAATTGTTAAAATTCTTCTTCTTCTTCTTCTTCTTTTTTATAAGCAAAATGCTTGTTCAATGTCTGTTAATGCCTCTATTGGAGGTTATCAATCCATCTTTTGCGTGGTCGCCCGATACTTCTTCTACCTTTTGGTGATTTGTCCCTCGCTATTCTGACTAATCGGGGCTCTTCCATTCTGTTTATGTGTTCGTTCCATTCCTTTTTTCTGTTCAGTGTCCACTCATTTATTTCTGGTATATTGCATTTTCTTCTGATCTCTTCACTCCTCATTCGATCCCTCAGTGTGTTTCCTGTAATTCTCCTCAGTAAACGCATCTCCGCTGTTTCTAGTAGTTGCTGAGTTTTGGAGGTATCCGGTCTTGTCTCTGAAGTGTATGTCATTATTGGTCTTATTGTTGCTTTGTAGATTCTTGATTTCACGTCGGTATTAATGTGGGGATTGAGCCATATCTTGTTATTAAGACAACCTGCTATTTTATTAGCCTTTTGTACTTGATTTTTTACTTCCTTCTCCACATCTCCGTAGCTAGACAGTGTAATTCCTAGGTAATTTGTCTCCATTACTTGCTCAATGCTGATACCGTCGATTTCCAATTTACATCTAATTGGTTCTTTACTGATTACAATTGTTTTAGTTTTCTGTGTAGAGATCACCATATTAAAGTCCTTTGCCCTTGTGTTGAATATATGGGTTAGTCTTTGTAGATCGTCTTCATTGGATGCAATTAGGGCCGCATCATCTGCATAGCAGAGTATTCTGATTTCTTTGTTCCCCATTTTGTATCCTCTTCCTTTATTAATAGTATTGATGATTTCATCCATGATTAGATTGAATACCGTTGGACTAAGCGAGTCTCCTTGTCTTATTCCATTGCCCATATCTATTGGATCTGTAAGCTGGTCATCTATTCTGACTTCCATATTGTTGTTCTGGTAAATGTTCTCTATTGTTTTTATAACATTTAGTGGAATTTCTCTATCGTAAAGAAGGTGAATTACATCTTTAAGCTTTACTTTATCGAACGCTTTCTTCAGGTCTATTAGACATATGAATGCTGGTCTGTTATACTCTAGTGCTTTCTCGGTAATCTGTTTTACGATGAATACTGCATCTGTGCACGATCTTCCTGTGCGAAAACCCTGCTGTTCATCCGCTAAGGTAATTCTCTGATTTATTTGGCCTTGCAATATTTTGGTTGTAAGCTTCAAAGTGGTGTTTAATAAGTTGATACCTCTGTAGTTTTCAGGTTGTTTTTTATCTCCTTTTTTGTATAATAGGATAAGCTCGCTTTTCTTCCACTCTTCAGGTATTTTATTATGTTTGATGATTTTGTTAATTAGTGCTGTTAGCTGTTCTGTAAATGCTTCTCCACCACATTATATTATCCACCATATAAATTAGTGCCTAAAATTAGTCTCCCGAGCCCCTTGACACTACTACTACTTCTACTTCTTCTTTGAGTACCGTGCCTGGGCGTGGGCTTAAGTTTTAGGCGTGGGTAGCTTCCATGACGATTTGCGATATCGTTCTCGATTATGCGCGGCATGTAATAATTAATCTGCTGATACGCCAGTCCATTGACGAAGGTTTTGGAGCCATGAGTATTTCTTTCTACCAATTCCTCTTCTCCCGTCGATCTTTCCCTTGAGCATCAACTGCATTTTCCTGTATCTGCTTCCTCTTATTATATGCGCCAGATATTCGAGTTTTTCACTTTCTACTACTACACTGATCACTAATTAATACACTACTGCCACTGGAAACAGAGGATGGTTCATTTATAACGTCAATGGTGACGTGGTTTGGGTGGAGGTTGGCTCGGGGGTTAGCGTGGGGATTGGCGCGGGAATTGGAGCGAACATTTTCAGAGAACTACGAACGCAGTAGTGTTCGTAGTTCTCTGACATTTTTCTGACAGTGGGATTTTAACTCGCGGATGGAGCGGATGATATTCTCTTTATGAGAGGTCTCCGTGTCGAAGGCAATCGTATGCTGTCATCTTTTTTATTCAATTTGTTTTTTTTTTCAAACCCGCTGAGATCTCTTTGTTTGTCTGATTCAGATAAAATTAAATTATTAGAAGAATTTTTCACTAAGTAACAAAAAAACAAAATTTGTTTAATTTAAATGTGATTATGTTTCAGCTTGTTTAGAGTTATGTAATAAGGCCGAAAAACTCAACCCATACAATACCACATCTAATATATGTACAGCAAATCCTGAGAAAAACCATGGTACTTGTGAAGGAGACTCTGGTGGTCCTTTAGTTCTAGATCAACAATTGGTTGGATTGGCATCTTGGGTGTTTCTACCATGTGGTAGGGAAGGTGCTCCGTCAGTATTTACCAGGGTCAGTCATTTTGTTGACTGGATCAAGAAACACGACAAAGAGTTGTAACAACACTATTTAAATAAATGTTAAAATCGCTATCAAAACTATAATTTTTGCTTTCTTTGTTTTTAGCCTTTGTATGATATAATGATATAGGAGTATACTGAAAATCTAATTTAAATAGAAATGAAATTACTAATAATTTAGGTTTTTTTACTTTTGTGGCTGCTTCTAGTTTTATATTGTTTATAATGGTAGCCAAACTATACTATTGATAGATCTATGTAGAATATTTGGAGTATTTTATACTAGACCGAGAAAATAAAGTTTTTGAAATCGAAAAATTACTGGACGCGATTTTCCAGGTGGAAAGTGTTGGGGAAGCCTATGCAAACAGCGTCTCATCTCGTGAGTAACGTTTTTTTGGTTAGAAAATTGTTTATTTTAAACTTTTTTGCAAAAAAGTGGTATCTTTTCGTTCGATTCAATATTGCGAAAAACCCACGAGGGTTGGAGAAAAATGGTCCACAGATGATTTTTTCCTCGAGAACTGACGAAGATTTTAAGACTTGCTAAATTGAAATCCATAAATAAATAAAAAAGTTATTGTTAAATTAGTCCAAAAAACATTGTTTTTTAAAATTGTTTATAACTTTTTCAATAATGTATAAATTCATTCAAAACTTTATGAAATTATGGGTTTTCAAGTACTTAAACTGTGTGCAAAAGATGGGTCATTTTTGAATGGACTTACAGCTGGCTGGGTGCGACTAGGATGCCCATTTTGGGCTCATTTTCTTCGTTTGATCGTCAACTATCATATACTTAAAATTAAAAAAAATATATATTGTAATTTACTTATTGAAAAGTGTTAATAAACGAAGTACACTTTTCGCCTTATAAACATTTAGAATATCTCGGTTGTTTTTGAATATACAAAATAGCCAAGCATACCATTTGAAAGCTGGTCAAAAAACACATTAAAAAAAAAAGAACTTCCTACGACCAATAGAAACGGAAATATTTTTTTTTTCAAAAAATCGCAGACCAATTGTTTATAAACATTAAGGGCTGAAATTTGGCCAATATTTAAATAAAGACCCAATCTTTAACGTACAATTTATTTCGTTTTTATTTGAACAAACCAAAAGGTTTAAGAGCGCTTCAAAAGAAGCGCGGCTATTTTGTATATTGTATATTCAAAAACCACCGAGATATTCTAAATGTTTATAAGGCGAAAAAGTGTACTTCGTTTATTAACAATTTTCAATAAGTAAATTACAATATATTTTTTTTAATTTTAAGTATATGATAGTTGACGACCAAACGAAGAAAATGAGCCCAAAATGGGCATCCTAGTCGCCACTCAGCCAGCTGTACGTCCATTCAAAAATGACCCTTTTTTTAAAAAACGTGATAAACAATTACGATTTAGCAAAAACTACTCGACCGATTGCGCCCATCTTTTGCACACAGTTTAAGTACTTAAAAACCCATAATTTGATAAAGTTTTGAATGAATTTATACATTATTGAAAAAGTTATAAACAATTGTAAAAAACAATGTTTTTTGGACTAATTTTGCAATAACTTTTTTATTTATTTATGGATTTCAATTTAGCAAGTCTTAAAATCTTTGTCAGTTCTCGAGGAAAAAATTATCTGTGGACCATTTTTCTCCAACCCTCGTGGGTTTTTCGCAATATTGAATCGAACGACAGATACCACTTTTTTGCAAAAAAGTTTAAAATAAAACAATTTTCCAACCAAAAAAACGTTACTCACGAAATGAGACGCTGTTTGCATAGGCTTCCCCAACACTTTCCACCTGGAAAATCGCGTCCAGTAATTTTTACGAATTTCTGATCATTTTATACCTCTATTTCTTGGTCTATACACAAAGTAGCCGGATGAATACGAAACACGAACACGTTCACGAACTACGACAAGATTTTTGAAATACCCAGCGACAGGTCAATTTTGGTTTAAAAAAAGTACACATTTTTCGAGTATTTTTGATTATTTTTTCTTTGACCCCTAATCCAGGGAGGTAAGAATTACATTTTTTAATGGCAATGAGGGTCAAATAAGATATCGTTTTTAAATTTTTAAATTCGATCCAATACTTTATTATATTTATTTAAAAATATTTTAAAGTTTAAATTATCTGCTTAATTAGTTAATTCAGTACACCAATGGTGAGAAATACATGTATACAAAAATTATTAATGGTGAGGTACTTCGGCGCATGAGTAAACAAAAAGAATTACTCAGCGTAATCAAAGAGAGAAAAATACAATACTTGGGTCATGTGTTGAGAAGTAAAAGATATGAATTACTCCAAATCATATCGGATGGTAAAGTGCAGGGCAAAAGATCAGTTGAAAGACGCCAAAACTCATAGCTGAAAGACCTGAGGAGATGGTTTGATCGCTCCTCCACAGAAATCTTTTGTGCAGCAGTTTCTAAAGCTACAATTTATTTGGATACCCAACCTTTGAAAGGAGACGGCGCAATAAGAAGAAGATGTTAGCTGACTGTTCAGTCTTAGCCCAAGAAAGTCGATGCACTCTACTTGTTTTCTTCTTCTTCTTTAAGTTCCATCTTCTATCGAAGGTTGGAAATCATCATGGCTATGCGGACTCTGTTGACTGCTGCTCTAAAAAGTTCTGCACTACTGCATTCAAACCATTCCCTTAGGTTCTTAAGCCAGGATATTCTTCGTCTTTCCACATTTCGCTTTCCTCGGATTTTGCCCTGCATAATAAGTTGTAATAATGCCTATTTTTGCCCTCTCATCACATGTCCCAAGTACTCAAGTTTTCGTCTTTTAATAGTTAATATTATTTCCGCCTAATTTCTTATTCTTCTACTTACTTCCATGTTTGACATTCTTTGAATCCATGATATTCGTAGGATTCTTCTGTAACACCAAAATTCAAAGGCGGCCAACTTATTCAGATGAACTTGTTTTAGTGTCCAAGCTTCCACACCATAAAGAAGAGTAGAGAACACGTAACATCGAAGCATTCTCAGGCGTAGTTCTAACCTAATATCCCGACAACAAAGAAACTTTTTAAGTTTAATAAATGATGTACGTGCTATTTCAATACGTGTCTTAATTTCTTTGGTTTGGTCTACATCTGATGTTATCCATGTTCCTAAGTATTTATAGTTATTAACACTCTCAATTGCAGTATATTCAATAGTCAATTGAATATTTGCATGTGCAGATTTAGTCATCATCATGCATTTAGTTTTCTTTAAATTTATCTTCAGTCCGTACTCATGACAGCGTTCATTAAGGCGTTGCATTACGTTCTGTAAATCATTGTTGTTATCCCTAATTATTACTGTATTGTCTGCAAAACGTAAGTTATTCAAAACTTCTCCATTGCTAGATATACCTTCTATGGAGTCTGAGAGCGCTTCTTGAAATACCGCTTCACTGTAGACATTGAAAAGTAGTGGGGACAGCACGCAACCCTGGCGGACTCCTCTCTGTATTTTGATATTTTCGGTGTACTGGCTGTCAACTCTTACCTTGGCAGTTTGATTCCAATATAAATTAGATATAATTTTCAGATCACGACTGTAAATATTTTTGCTTTTTAATATATCTACAAGCTTTTTATGTTGAACTTTATCAAATGCCTTTTCAAAGTCTACAAAACATAAGTACATATCCTGATTCATGTCTATGCATCTCTGAGCCAGCACATTCAAGCCGAACAAAGCATCTCTTTGCATCTACTTGTTTTAGGTTGATATAATTTAAAGTTGTTTTGCGATAGGTTTGATTAGAAGTTGCAGTAAATAAGTTTTGCCATATTTGTAAATACGGCCAAATAAATTTATTATTTATCGCAAGAACCGTATCCAAGGATATTCTGGCAGCCAAAAAGAGATAGAAACGATTGTTAGTACATTTGATTCCATGTAAGCAGTCCAAGGAAGGAGTTTTAGCTACAGATTTTGACAAAAGAACATCAGGGACATTTTGGAAATGAAATAATTGAAATTTAACTGGTTGTGGTGAATAATATTGCAGAGGCATAAAGTTCTGAAACGAAACAATCAAATAAAAATATTTTGTATTCATTTTTTTTGTAAATTTCCTGTAAAATAATATCTGTTTTAAAAGCTAGTTTAATTTGGTCTGAACAGTTATTCCTTTTTCTTAATTAAACAAATGTAATATTGAGCCTATGAATAATAGTAATGCTGAATCGTCTAAATAAAAATAAATATATAATTAGTAGGTATCTTTTCTAAACTATGTAAGAAGCCTCAGAGGAGTGGATGGAGATATAGACCATCACCTACTAAGAAAAAAATTCAGGTTGAGAATATCTTCAGAGAAACCTAATTCCAACGAAGAATTGGGACAGTGGAACATCGAGAAAATGCAAAATGAGGAAATCCGAGAAAATTACAAACAAGAAATTAAACAGCATCTAAATACAGTAGACCAGAGCAATAATGTCGAAAGGCTGTGGCAACAAATGGAAAAATCAATTACGGAGTCAGCAGAACTAATAATAGGAAAAGGCAGGAAGAGAACAAGGAAATGGTTTAATAGAGAATGTCAATAAAAACTACACGACAGACAGATAAAGCGAAACATTATGCTACAACAAGGAACAGCAGAAAGTAAAGAAAACTATGCAACTTCATGCCGAGAAACAAGAAAGTTAATTAGAGAGAAAAAAAGGAAGTACGAACAACAGAAATATGAAGAAATGGAAAAGAATAGGCAACAGTCAAAAAGTCGAGCATTTTACAAATCAGTGTCAAACGAAAGGCTTCAGACTTAATAATAAATGAAAAAGAACTGCTCCAAATATGGCAAGAATATTTCAAGACTTTACTAAATATACATCAAGAGGAAGAACATGGAGAAAATATATATTTTGGGGTGGACCTACCGGTAGAGGACCCCAAAATAGATGACACATGGCAAGTAATTAACAAATTGAAGAACGGAAAAGCTCCAGGCTCTGACAATGTACTGGCTGAATTCCTTAAGTACGGAGGAGAAACTCTACATAGACAAATACACAAACTAATAACACTTATATGGAACGAAGAGAAAATACCAACAAAATGACACGAAAGTGTAATAATCCCCATCCATGAAAAGGGAGGCAAAGCCAAGTACTCTAATTATAGAGGCATCTCCCTACTTAATA